CAAGCCATTCTTTGTCCGTGTTGTGGGCAATGGATTATTATAATACCCAGATGCGCTCCATTAATCCATCAAAGGTAGCTGACCCATTGCAAACACCAAGAAATTATTTTTTCTCTTTGACTTTTTCTTCATTGTTTCCATGCCCATTAGTGTTTTCTTTCCCTGACTCAGCATTCTCGTTCCATATTCTAAACATTGAGATAATAACTTGAACAGAAATACCATTATGGAAATGTCATGGTTTTACTATAGAGTTCAATTTACAGAAGAAGAATAATTGACCTTGTTTGCATTTTGACAACAGTTTAACTATTGCAAGAAGAACACATTTGACAGCAAGGCAGTACACCATGTTGTATCTAGATCTCTTGATCTAGACCTAACAACCTTTATGAAATTCAAATGTTCATCAATATACAAACCAATATATTAATTTGCATCTCAACAGTTCAGCTTTGGTCAGGATTCTTGATTTCTTTTATAAATGTTGAAAATACATAGGCTTGATCCTGTCATGGCCTGGACTTACAGAATCAATTTGTATCTTCCACAAGGGGCTTTTCTTTTCTCTAGAGAGAACATGAGCCTCTTACTGTATAAAGTATTGTATAATACAGCTTGTAAAATGCTTGATCCGTCTTTAATAAAGAGGCACCCTCGGGTCCTCACTTTGAGATTCTGGTATAACATTCATCATATATTTAAGCTACTTACATTTTGACAAGTTAAAAACATTTTACAATTTTTCTTCACAAAATATTAAATACGGGGAATGTGGATAATAGTGTTACATTTGGCATGTTTTTAACACCTGTTGCTATTACCAATGTTGCTTTATGATCTGCCATTTGAAATTCTCTATGAATAAGACTCTTTTGGGCAAGGTTTTAGATCATTTAGACAATATTACTCTTTTAATATCTTGTTCTCTTTTACATTATTCCTTAGGCATATGTCTTTATAATACTACTATAACACAGCTCATGTTAATGTCTCACTGGATAGGGGAACCTTTGAAGTCTTTCTGCCATCTTTTTGAAACCGCAGGTAGCCCAATCACAAGATTGATAACGTGCCCTAGAATTTAAATGATACAGAAACCCAATTTGTGAATGTCAGACCAACATGTCTAGGGGTCTGATGTTTGTTTTCTTCAAGTTGAATACCTGTCCTTTTTTTAAATGTATTTTGTAAAAACTGACACAGATAATTCTTGAATGCTTCGAAGTATTTCTTCCTTTTATTATCATTACCTGAACAGTATGGAAACATATTTTTAGTTTCTTGCAGTAACTGGTATAATTCTCCTAATTCCTTCATTCAGTTTCTTGTTAAATTGCTTCCCTATATATATATATATATTTAGTGTTCTTATGTCTTTGCAGGGTTACAATGAACTGCAGAGGCTGCAGACACGGTAGAGTACGATTCCAGACAGAGAGGCCAACTAATTAAAACTTTGACACCGAATCACATTCCTCACGGCTTCAACCAAACACATCCCCATCTTCAGTGTGCTCTGCCAGCGGTTCTATTGTCAGCGGGATTAAAAACTGTCACATTACCCCTAGGCTGCTGACAGTCCCTCCCTGTGTTTTTCTCTAAGAAAGACATCTCAATAGAGACGGCAAGGTCTTAATTACTGCCTGTCAAAGTTTCCATTTTTAGGTCGGATTTGACAAATTATTATTATCTTTTTCATAGTATGCTACTATCTATCTATGGATCTATCCATCCACATATCGTTCCGTAAGAGCAATGGTTGTTTGTGAATTATAACTGTCAGTAGAAAAGGTTGAAGGATAGTACGTCTACAAGCCATGCACAAAAACGGATTCGACATAACATCCATCTTCCGCCACTTCATGCTTGTCAGTGTTGACATGTTGACACTAGCAAACAGCAACTATCTTCAACCATTTACATAACTCTTTTTCTGAAGTAAGGAGTCAAAAAAAAAAGGGAGGGTCAATACAGTGATCATCATCTTTTCCGGAGACATTCATTTATCTTTGCAGATTAGTAAACTTCCTAGTGTCACGGAGAGTGGAGAAGGTGGACCCAAATGCAGGAGACTGTGAGCCAAAGATTCCAAAAAGACTGAACAGGACTTAAATACAAACTAATCTGACGAAGGGATGAAGTGTTGCTGGACAGAAGCTCAGCTGAGAGTAATGAGGTGATCAGGCTGTGAGCATGCAGAGATCCGATTGGCCTAGGACCTAGAACTAACAAGGCTAAAGAAGGGAAGGCAGGAAGGCTCCTAAATAAGTGAGATCAATGCTTAGGAAAATGTGTTCAATGTGTTCTTCCTTATTTCCTTAAGCCTATAGGGGCTGCTTCTCAATGTCAAGGAAGGATCCTTCAGAGCCTCTATGAAGGATGCTATGTCATCGAATCCCGCCGAAGGACTGTTCCAATGTACAGGATCCTTGGAATTCTACCGAGGACCAAATCCTTCGTTGCAGGACATTTCAAGGCTGCTCATGTGTATCCTCGGCGGTCTTAAATTACCCAGAATTCTTTGCGCACGGACCAATTTCCACGGACTGGCACGGTGGCATTAATAATGCAGTAACAACATAAAGAATAGAGGGCAGTTTCAGTTTACTTGACAGTTATTAATTGTTAGTGGTTATTTTTTTCAAATTTGCAATTTGCTTGTGTGTGAGTATACATTATGAAAAAAACAATTTAAATGTGATTACACATTTTCTCCGCATCGATAAGTGTTAGAACGACTACAAACATGCACAAACTATATATGCAAAATTGACACGGGAGAAAAGTGTTGCTTGCTTATTGTGCGGGAAGCATGAAATAAAGGGAATAGAAAGGGGTGTCTACCAAGGGTGATTTAAACCATCATGACAACTCACAAACTAACTATAGAGTAATTATGGATGCTTCATTTACTTGATTTACATTAGAGAATAAAACTCCTACCGAAGGCAAGCAGGAAGACTTATTTAACTAGAACATCCTCCTCCTCCGAGCAGACAGACACCGACGATACTCCCGCTCTATCTCTTCCTCCATATCAAAGAATTAATGGATAAAAGACAAAAACAAAAACGTGTCCATCTTCGATCTTCGCAAATCAGTTATGAGTCTTCAAACAAATCGTGCACAATAAGGCGGGGCCTTGCATATGACCCACACCTGCACACTTGCTAGCCTGTTCCATTCTTCATTCTCCGAATACTAGGAAGGATTCTTGCCTAGCCCCTGAAGGACCTGACTCGGAAGGACATGTCCTACCAAGGAAGCGTCCTCGACTTTGAGAAACGGCTAGGGTCCAATGAACCATCATTTGTCATGATTTTAGTTTTGTGTGTCTAGTCATGGTTTTATTTTGAAGTTCTGTTCTCCCTGTGTCTTGTCTTCCTTCCTGTGTTTGCCCTCCTGTGTCTGATTGTCTCATTGTGTTCACCTGTTGCCCTTTTGTTTCTGCCTCCCTTGCCCAGCTGTGTCTTGTCCTGTGATTACCCTTCTGTGTATTTAGTCTTGTCTTCCCCTGTGCTCAGTGGCGGCGCCAGGGTATGGCTGGGGTAGGCTACAGCCATACCAAGAAATGGCTTAGCCCCACCTTAGCCCCACCATGAAAAATGATGTTAAAGTAAGCAAAATAAAGTCCGCCAACTCGCGCGGAGTAAATTGCACAGACAGCAGTTAGCAAGATTGATTTCAGTAGCCACTTGTCTGGAAATACCGAAGACTAGAAACGGTTTTGAAAACTTTTGTCACGTAGTGATCGTCTTCTCAATAGAACATCTTTGATAATGTCTTCTGGCCAATCAGAATCACGATAACGGCTTGGTGTTGTTGCAGGACGTCCCGACGGAGAATACTTTTGCTGTAGCACATCTGGCTACATCGATACAACATTACGTGTGGATAGAAATCAACACGTAATGAAATAAGACCCCACGGTTTGATGATTGATAGGTGTGTGGGCTGTCTTTCATTTTGACACACAGAACAATGGGGGCTATCCACCCTTATCCACGATGTAAAGTAATTCACACAGCCAGCCATTGAGACAGGGAAATAATCTAAACCTCACGCGTGGCGTTTCACTGTCAAGGGGGGCGATATAGCGTGTATGTAATTACATTGCAAATACTGACTTGAGCCCCACCACTGTATGGGTTAGCCCTACCATAGATTACCCAACAAAAATACTCTGGAGCCGCCACTGCCTGTGCTCCATGTCCGATCATCTTTGTTGTCACCCTCCATGTTGGTTCCTGTTGGTTTTTCTGGTCTGGATATTCCTCTTGCTATGAATTTATGGATTTATTTGTTCATCGTCAAAAGATTTTTTTAAATTAAAGCTCGCTTTTTGTTATACCTTGTACCTTCTCCTCATTCTGCATTTGGGTCCTGATTTCCCCCCTATACCTGACATAATTTACCAAAGGAAAAGAGATAATGCCTACCCATGATTTCATGTGGCCGCAACATTTAAGGCAATGCACCCTTGGGCCATTCGAAACATTTGCCGTTGCTGTCCTTATGAATTCTCTTTCATGTTTATTACTTTAGTATTCAAAAGAAAAAAAGTTGTAAAAAACATAGCACGTTATTATTTTGACGTTTTGACTGGAGCCACGTCTACAACTCAGTCCAGTCTCAACAAAAGTCTGAGAGCAGTTGGACCTAGAACTCGACTGTGACACCAACAGTATGGCCTACAATCGCTTAAGTCTTCTACCAAGTAAAACCCACTCAAATCTGCATTAGTTAAACCATTGGTCAACTTCTTTATAAACCATGGACAGGACCACTGTATTTGACAGACCAGAATGAATCATTCTTGTAATGGTCATATGGGTCTGCTTGGTAGACAGACACCTTGGAGTTTATGGTGCATCAAAAAATCAAAGCTGTATTTCATTTTTTTCACTCAATAATTCACTTGACAAAACCACATTTTCAAATAGAACTTTAATGAATATATCTATATATTTTTATATATGTATATATACCTTTTTATATTTTTTGTCTTTACTAGTGAGGATCAGTATTTTGTATTGCTTCCCCTTTTCCTTATGGTCCTTTAAATGTATCGGTCTGCTGATTTGAAATATACCAGTTTTCAATTTGAAGAGTTTCAGGTCTGACTCTTGTCAGTGGCCAAAGTGTTGGGAAAAGGAGCTGGTGGCTTTTAAAATGGCTTTTTTTCACATCAGGATATGAACTTAAAACAGAGAAACAGAACCTCCGCTTTTAAATATACTTTACAAAAGGTAAAAAAAAAGATTTGGATGCCTTAAGTAATTTTTTTCTTACATTTCACATATCTCAGAAGCATCATGTTGATGCATTTTGTTTTTCTCATTTGTTTAGCATGTAAACACCACTGACAACACCAACACAGACCACATTTAGCCCACTGTCCCAGCACTTAGGCTACTGACAATATGTCACAGGCAGGCGTGAAGCCTTTATAGCCCAAAGTTACAGGTGTAGGAACTCTGAAACAATATAACATTAAGAATATCAATACATACCACCACTAAAATAAATGGATTAATATACATTCTATCGCCAACACTTATACACTGGTCAGAACATTAAAAAACACTGATTATTAGGCTACGTTGGTAATGTTTAGAGAAAATGTCAAATGAAAGATAAAGTAGGGATGGAAATAGAGAAGAGTAATTAACTAGGACAAGAAAGACAATTGATTTTCGAAAAATAAGTAAGAAAATAATTTCCCAACAATAAAACACAAAATAACATTCACAGTATATGACAACTAGCAATGTACCGATGATCAAGGCACGTAGCGCCCAGTTGTTCCAGGGAAGCAACTCAATTACCAGCGACTACTGGGCGGTTGCCATTTTAAATGTGACAGTAAATGCGAGGTGAAGCAGAGTGTTGCTGAAAAAGAGCATGCACGCTCAGTCAACTCTCCCTATACAGATAAATGTGATGACATAATAAAATAGAGCATGATGTAAAGATGAATTTACACATGATCACCCTCTCACATTGTGCACATGCGTTCCACATAACACCACTGACTTTAGTGTACATAAGCAAGATAAAGACAATTTAAAACAGGAATATAAAAAAATTACAAAAAGAAAAATATTTCAAAATGTATAAATACCCTGCAATAACCATTACGATCATAGAAACACCAGCAACGTGATATTAATACTCAAAGAGTTACAATCTCATTAAACCGAGAGATGATAATCAATCACTGAGAATGAAAAGACAACCAAAGGATTACCATTTACAGACATTATGTGCTTTTGTTGAAGTAAATGGATTGATAATACATAATACATTTATTTTTCTAGTTTGTCAAATAGTATATAGTTATAGCTAAAAGAGAGATGGAGGGAAGGGGAACTGAAGCTAGCAGATATGCTCTTTCCTCTTTCCCTCCTCCTCCAACTTGTCTTCAACCAGGGTTGAATTCAACTTGCCAACGCAATTGGTCCGAAAGTGCATTCAGAGTTCAGTTTGTTAGTCCAAAAGTCAGATTTAGGACATGTGTATAGGTTTCAATTCAAAATGTCACGCAGTACATCTATCACAAAGGTTTATTTTCTCCTTAAAGCCTCTAAAATATATGCTGCGCACAAAATGTGACTTTGTTAGAATTTTTTATAGAGATCATTTATGACTTATTCAATAATCCATTATGTGCTTGTGTTATACGATAGGAACTTGGTTGGATAATATGGTTGATATTTCATATTAGCGTAACACGATTTAAATATTTAGCTACGTTCTAACTAAAACACCACCCCCTGAGTGTAAACTGAATTGACCCCCACCCTGTGGCCTGGTTGCAGCCCAGGAACACTCAACTGATGCTGCCTTGTAGCCTTCGGTATCAACACCTTTTCATAAACAGTCATACAAAGCCTGAAATACATTTTTGCAATTAAACATCACAAATATCTCGTAAAAGTCCATCTTTACAAGTACATCCTTTGACATAGAAGGAGCATTTAGCAACATTTCTACTCTCTGCAGTGATTTAATAATACCTCGGCCAGCTATTGAACTATCTGGGTTTGAAACCATTCTCCCAAACCAAAGCTAAACTACATTTGAAGTAATATCTTGCAATATAATTAACTGTTTGCAAAACGTTTCTGTTGTAGCTGTGCTCCAATTAATATCTTTAAAGAAAACCTCTTTATGTTGCACTTTTTGCAAACAAAGTGATGTTCACTTAAGACGACAACTTGCAGTAAGTTGTTAACGCAATTCCTACTGTCAAGTGAACCAAAAACTAGTGAAACAATAATCGCAGTCTACTTCCATTTGGACAGAGTTCAGCAAATATTTGACAGGTTTAATACAAGTCTCAAGCAATTCATTGCCAGACGAAGTAACTTGTTCAGATGGACATTTGTTACGGTGTTTGCCCAAACTGTGACAAATGGCAGTGGTGTAATGGAGGCGTACAGGGGGAGTCTAGAAGTCTATGGCAGTACCTTTCTCTTGGAGCGTGGAGAATGCCCACCTGTTACTGTAATTACTTTGAGGTATGATGACAAATAAACAGGCTCACAGTGTGTCAGCCTCTTCTCATGTGTGCGTGTATGAGGGTCAGTAGGTTCAATATGGCTATGTCCTACTCGTGGGCCTAGAGGTTAAGTAGCTACTGTTGAACTTGAATTGGCAATCAAGTCATCACTGAGCAGTTTGTTACTTGGCTGAATGTACCCGTCTGTGGCTCTCTGTTCTTTTTAAAACAGGAATGTGACAGAAAATTGTGGCTTGAGTCATTTGGCCACTCTTTGCTTTTATTATTTACGATGCTTTAAAGTTTCAAGAAGTATACCGGAAATAATACCAGAAGGCATAGATTTGTTGGTCTGCAGGATTAAACTGAACGTCTAGTTGTGAAAAAACCTCTAACCCTTACATTAGATTCAGTTCAGTTTAAACAGGGTTGCTAGCGCCTCACAACACTAAAGCTGTACCGGTTCTTCTTGTTTGAGTTGTAGTTTGTATTCCCACAGCAGCTGATTCAATGTAGAAGCGGAGAGAAATAAATAACTACTGAGCTTCCTCACCTACTCAGCAAGGCACTTACAACCAACTGCTGCACCGAACCTAGTGTTAGTGGGAACATCCCAGTTGTGTATGAGTGACGTTGTAAAATAATGAAGCTTCCTTTTTACTGAAGCCTCCACTGCACCATTGCTGTATAAATATCTGACAAACAATGTTTTGCCTCTTAAGTCATGACCATTTAAAGCCGTTGTCTAGAAGTTGTATATAATCTCAGGTGTTATACGACTGTTTATGATATTGGTAAGTAATTATGGCAGTTAGATACCCCAGGCTCAAAGACTCTCCCTCTTTCATCTTAAATACACAACATTTCAACTAATGTATTCCGCCTCTTTGAGTTTTAGTTTTAAACTGGCGTAGTTTTCCTGTTGAGTGTATCCGAGTTGCTATCCCTGTCCCTTTTGGCCGTCAGTCGGTCCAGGGTCCCCATGTTGCCCCTGTCCCTCTCCATGGTGGCTGTAGATATTGGAGCTGTCTGGGCTGGTGTGGTGGCGGATGTGGAGGTATTCAGCGGTGCTGCATTCTGGGCTACAGCCGCTGCTGCCGCCAAGTTGGACTTGGAGTGGGATGGGAGTGTGCCGCTGTTTATAACCGCTCCTCCTCCTCCTCCTCCACTGCCACTGGAATCCTTCGGGAAGTAGTTGTGGAGCTGGTACAAGGTAGCGCGATCCACCGTGCCATACAGAGGTGGGGCGCCGCCTCCTAGGCTGCCAAGCTTGGAGTCCCTCGACAGGGTGTACATGGAGATGTCGCCGCCTCCTCCACTTCCACCGCTGCTGGCGTGGTGCGGGTTGGGCAGAGTGGCCACAGAGAAGGGTGGAGCAGAGGGCGGCAGGCTGAAGGTCTTGGACGTACCAATGGGAGAGTTCTCCTGTGAGTGTGGGGGGTCTGTCGAGCGAGAGCTGGAGCGAGAGCGCCGTCTGAAGCGGTAGCTGGGCAGTCGCAAAACGGCGTGAGTGGTGCTCTTGAAAAGGTCGCTGCGAGATCTGCAGCGCAGCTCCTTGTTCTTCTCGATGTAGATGTTGACAGCGAGGACACCCACCATCTCAGCCAGGATGAAGGACAGGCCGCCAAAGTAGAAGGACCAGCCGTAGGAGTAGTGCCACTTCTTGTCCTCATCCTTCTTGGGGGAGATGTCGCTCAGAGCTGCTGAGATGTACACGATCACTCCGATGATATTGCTTAAGCCTGAGGAAATATACAAGTCTTTAAGTATAATTGCTCCTCAGAGGCACATTAACCTGCAGCTTCATTAAACTGTTTTCCAAGCAGAGATATTGGAACTGTTTTCTTTTTATTATACCGTTTAGACGCAGGCGCCATATCAAAATCTATCTGCATATCATACATAAAAATTCTCATTATATTTGTATAAGCAGATCTGAAATATTAAAATGTATGTGAGAAGCACATTACATTTCGCTTTGAGTGGAATATGACTGAACATTTTAAGCTATGGCTCAAAGCAATGAGTACAAGAACAATGGTTTCTGCCAAAACCAACATAAACTGAAGTCTTACAGTACCTGCAGCTACAAAGAGAATCCCTCCGCCTAGAATTATGTTTCTTTTGCTCTTGTAGAAGCCGCTGGCAGCAACACACACTCCACCCAGCAGAAGCAATATGGCGCTAAGGATGGGGAAGATGCTTGAGGCGCGCACCACACCTGCAGGAGAAAACATTATCAGAAACACATCATGTGTGTACTGAAATATTACTTTTTCAAGACATTGTTGTGTGTAATAAAATGATTCATTCTATACGTTTCAAATGAAGTACAACTAGTGAGGAGACTTTTTGGGTTCAACACCATTTGAAGGTGCAAAGTTAACAGCCTTGTGAAACTCCTGGGAGATGAGGTGTTACCGATACGTGCTACACAGCTGACACTACAACTTGGCTCTCGAACAGTAACTATTTTTAAGTTTTCTACATAATATTCATAAAATGATGTCATTTGGGCTCCGAGGAATAACACATTTTGAACAGAATGCCTGGATTTAAAACTGGTGGTAGTAATTGAAAGATGTGGGGGTTTAAAAGAGGCAAGGAATATTTAACCAAAGTGTGATATTACGTAATTTATAAAAAATGTATTTTGGAGGTTGGAGCCATATTATGCAACCAAAGTCACAATGTCCAGCCCTAACCCTAACCCTAAGCAGGCTTTGTTGACCCATGCAAGTCCCCAAACTTAACAGAACTGCAATGTTAATTTGCTAGAATACTTTGTGAACTGTGTTTGAGTCTATACATTTTATAATAGATGGAAGCAGGACAATCTCAAGCCTAAAACTACTCTACAGTAGTTTATTCTGCAGACACCTTGAACTTTAAAGCAGTAGTGATAACGTAAGATTAAAATGCTGAATAGTTATATCTCTAGCAGGAACATGTGGAAAAAGCAGAGTCTTCAAGTTATCAAGGTGACTTTTCCAGCTGCGTTATCTTTTGTTTGCCTCTGAAGAGAGAAGATACTGCAATGATAAGCATATACTCAAAGAAGCTTCTGTCAGACATGTCATACAGAGGTTGCAAATGTATTGCCATGTCATATACTTGTGTATTCTGCTCTTGCTCTTTTGCACTTTTCTTGCATTTGATGTATTTGTATTTGCTATGTTTGTAAATGTCATTTTCTTAAATGTTTTATGTGAGGGACTGCGGATGGAAAGTAGCTCAAAGCTAAATCCGGCATATTTACGCTTGGCACATTTATTGTTTTAAGTGTTCATTAATGTGCAATGTCCATACCAAATAAACGATTACAAAAAAAAAATAAAAAAAAATATTATTATTATTATTCTCTGCATTTGTTTTTAAATGGAAAGGGGCTCTGTGGCTCGTGTGTGAGTCTTCCGCACATTTAATTGATTATCTGGATAAGTAGCTGATAGGAAAGATTTCTGAGCTTTTGGGTCTTTGTGGTGATTTAGGGGGAAAATCCCTGGTGTGTGGTTCTTAACCAAAAAGTGTATCAAATGATTATTACCTACTCCTATGAGGTTGAACTTTTAGTCCTATCATGTAAGTCAAAAGAAGAGGCAAAATTATTAGTTGACTAAAAGATATGTAAATCAATAGAAATATCATACATCTGCAGCTATTTTGATGACTGCTGATGACAAATTGGTTAGAGCTCCTCAATATTTAGCTTATTTTCTCAAATATAATTGCCCGTTTAAAAGCTTTTGGTTTTTTGTTGGACCGAACATCCAAAGTCACCTATTACATTTGATTTTATTAAAATAAATAAAAAAACTTTGAAAAAACTTAAGATATTTAATTCAGTCAATGTTGCAAAACAATACAGACACAAAAATCTTAGGTAGCATCACAGCTTCCTTCACATACATATATATCTTCTTATGATATATGGATTGTGAAACATACATTTGGTAAAGCAACAGGTTCAGGGCTGTACGAACAGGATTTGCTATCACAATGAAAGCAGGATATGAAACCAGAATCCTGAGCTGAAAATAATCCATTAGTGAAGGCTGTTCTTTCAATCCATCTGTGAAAAAGCTTTCTGTACACCCCCAGACTCCCAACCCCATGCACCTGGGCATTTATACACACACACACACACACACACACACACACACACAGACAAATGCACACACATTTACACACACCTCCAGGAACACTTTGCTTGAATCTGACATCCGTGCATTGATGTCCGCCCACCATCCCCTTCTGTCCTTTCTGTATCCGTGTGTGATGGAAACTGCGTGTGTGTGTGTGGTGTGTTCTGTTGAGATGTGTGCGCACACTGTGTGTACTGCAGGCTCAATGTGTTTGTGTGTGTATGTGTGTGTCACTCACGCAGCAGATACTCTGCAGAATCTTGGTCATAGTCTGCATCGTCTGGGAAATGATCTATCTGGGAACACACACCTCGCTTCAAACCTGAAAAAGGCAGAGCAGAAGAGGAGAAGAGGGTGAGAAGAAGGTAGAAAAACCTGCAACTCACAAGGAAGAGAGGATAATTGATGAAATACAAGATTGCCAGAATGGTAGAATAAAAAAGGAGAAGACAAGAAAAACAATGAATAGAGAGAATTCACAAATTCAACAGATGTAGAGGCAGGACAGACAGACAAATTGATGAAGCAAAATCAAAACATTAGATATAAAAGGGGACAATGAAAAGAAGAAAGACCATAACGTTATTGAACAGAAGAATTCAATATGATGCTTCTGCACTGGCCAATCAGATAAATAGTTGTGGACTAAAAGTGTACACCTGTGCTAACGACTCTATGAGTTAAATGCTAAAGTTAGCCTGCTAACATACTTGAAATCACAAAGTTTGGCAGGTTTATTGCTTACCATGTTCAGTATCTTATGCTAATCCGCAACTAACTACAACTAAGGCTGATTGTTCTTATATTTTGGTCAAATGTCAGCCTCAAGGTGGTGAGGGGAAAAGTCTGAGTATAACCAGTCCATGAGGACACGTCAGAAAGATTCAACCCCAGTAGACCATGAATGTCTGCATTCCAATTTTTGGTAATCCTTGTTGAGATATTTCAGCCTTGTATAAACACACAACATACGATTGTGCTAAACAAACTGTCAGGAAAAAACTTGAGGTACTATAAGATATTTTCAAGACATACTATGACATACATCAATTTGACAGAAATAACAATCTATTAGGACCAGGAATCCACAATTTTCCCAGTGGACAGCAGATTGGGTTGAGAGGGCAGAGCACCTTGGATGATGATTTCTAAAAAGCTTGGAGGGATACAACTAGATGTGTTGTTACCTTTGCTATAGACAACGTGGCAACTCAGGTCATATCACAAACAAGGGTCTTTTCAGATGTAAAAGGTGGCGTAAACTAAACATTACATTTGATGGATATCGACAACATTTTGTTGTTGATTTGATTGGAAAAGGCAATTGAAAAATGCTGTCCTAATGCTGTTTTACTGGTGTTGAAATGCACATGATCACACCTTTCATTTAAACACAATAAACGTACAATAGATACCTGCGTCATGGAAGCCTCATCTTGCATATGTGAGTGTTGTGTGTGCTCTGTTCAATTGAACCTGTCTGCCAGCTTCAGTAATGCAAGGAAACCACTGTATCAGTCACTGCATGAGCCACCACTCAAGTATGAATTCTGGGGCATTGTGATTGTGAGTTTTAAGTTGAATATATAATGAGTGTAATTATTTCTGCTTGTCTGTTAACAAAAAAACGCAACAAAGGAAAAATGAAGCAAAGCACAGCTACTGTTCATACATATGTTCTTAAATGTTCTTATCTGAAGTTCGCAACAATGCCAAAAAGTTATAATTTGCTGTCTCACTGCGTCATAAGTTTGAAAAAATGTAACCATCAACAACTCATGCAGAAGTGACAATTTGAGGCCTGCACCTTACTCACTATGAGATGTTATTCTCATAACTGACCTCATATCCAAATCAAGAGCAAAACACACAAATTAGTAGGGCAATGGGAGTAAGAGAACACCTATGTATGTCTGTTCTAATCACACTGATGATCACATTGACCTTCACAAGACCCTCCAGTGACAAGCACAGGAAAACACACACAAACTTGTTTCCCTCCCTTGAAGGGTCCACATATTTTCTGCCCAATTGTGGGGTCCACACAATCAGCTTTACCTTCTAGGCAGCAGATCCTCCAGAGACCAGAGTGGGTGAGTGCCCCTGGGTCTTTCTTGTCCTTGTTGTTGGAGTCCTCCTGGGACGAGTTAGCCGTGCTGTTGCATATGAAGGCACGGGCGTACAGCCAGTAGTCTGTACCAATGGCCACCGTCATCAGGGCGAAGGCCGCAAACGCCCCCATGGTGGTCAGCAGCACCTGGATGCCCCGCTCACACCACACCAATGCTGGACGGGGAAGGAAACTAATATCTGAGAAGAAAAAAGACATGAATATCAGATGTCTAAAGTACATCCCAGAACACATGATAATACTTTAGATCTTACTCTGCCTGGTAACTGTAGGTTCCTAGACTTGATATCAACCTTTAATGTTCAAGGTGAGAACTGATTTCTTCTTCACATTCTGTAGGTTTACTTAAATAATTAACTTAATTGTAATCATTAAAAAATATGTTTATTATATGCATTTACCACAACTAGCTTAGATTTTCTGAGGGAAACATCGGTTTGAATTCTTAAAATGTAAGTCAGGGGAAAAGTCCTGTTAGCACAGAAATCATGAATGTGCCAACTTATGTGACTAAGATGTGTTTGATTTGAAGCAATTATGATAAAGGGTACCACCTATTTATGAATTCCACATGGATTTCTGAAAGATTATTGTTGAGCGAAAGCTGTGGCAAGATGTATACTCTTTGTATTGATTTCAGACTCAGGTATCACTTGTAATGAGTGATCTTTTGGTCACAAGTTTGATTCTTTTACCCATTCAAACGCCATAGTCATCCTCTACTGATTATCACTGATCACAACCATTGTGCTTGCATACAGGTTACAAATTGATTTTGAGAACTGACACAGCCAAATAAGAACATAATGTATATATTTATATGTGAAAACTAAAAGCTTTTGTTGAAGTCGTCCATTTCCAAGGGTTTCATGCCACCCTGTTCACAATTCATTCATGGACCTATCAGATATGCTATTAATGCAATAATAGAACTACTGTCCCCTATGGGTTTTCTGTGTGTGGGTGGTGTGAGCTAGTGACTTTTCTTTGAGTGACGGCCTAAAGCTGTGAAGAAGAAGAAAATTGGAAGCACGCAGCAGAGAAACAAAATGCCAATCCGATGTATCAACAACAAATATAATATTAAATATACCTACACAAACAATGTTATGTGGAAGATGGACTTCTTGAAGACATACATTCCTAATTGTCAATGAGTTTCCTAAGAAAATGTAAATGAATACAATCCATTCATTGATAGATTAGAGATTAGTGGGTTACTTCAGCAGGAGGGAACATCTGAAATTTGACCTTCCTGTCAAAACCTGCAGTTCAAAATGACTCACTTTTAAAATGCTTTCAAATCGACAAGTTGCAGGTATGAAGAATAATGCTATACAATTATCAAAACACCGAAAGGCAAATGCAGATAAGCAAGACGTAAACGGTTGCAGGGTCTTTAGGTTTACCTTCACATTAATAAACATAGAGGGTAAAATACAACACATCTGTTGTGCTTCAGGAAACATCTAAGGAGACGGAGGGATCTGCAGAGGTTCTATTTAACCATTTAGTGCCTCAATAGGATTTCAACTATTTGAATTAAAATGTATTTAGCAACATGATTTCCGTAAGTGCATTATATAAATGGTAGGTTAATGTAAACAATTGATCGAACATAGAATATTAATCCCAGTGTGGGTTAAACTATTCAGTACATCCGCTGGCATGAAGGATGTTTCTATGGCAACACAAACCCAAAAAATCAGACCACAAGTAATCTGACCCTGAAACTGACCCTTCCTAGGGTTAGTCCAAAAAACACTGAAGGACACTGCAATCATTATTTTTGATTGATTTTGCAGGATTTTGCACGTTAGTTTCTATTACATACTCTATACATAAGTCTGTGTTTGCAATTTATCTTAATGTATTCTTTTGTATTGGGTGTGAAAAGAAACATTTAACAACAAAAATCTTTGAGTTATGGTAATAATAACCAGTAAGACATTGTTGCTTGATTTGATTTGCACAGCAGTATTGTTAAAAAGAGTAACATCAAGGAGATGGTGAGGAAAATCATCGTTACCATTCTAGTTTAGGGCAGAACAAATACTCATACGTTAATTGTAGATTAAAAATGTCTACCTCGAAATTAACAGCTCATTTTGAAAACAGAATATTAAAATGTATTATTTTATAGAATGTTTTATCTTTCATCTACATTTGAATTCAGAACTTTCATAAAATTTCAAGTTTCACATTTTCGATCAGTCAAATACATTCTAATCAATTCAATTGATAGACTGTTGTGAAATATCACGCATTGTTTTATCCATAGACACAATCAAGGATTTCTTTTTTTGTACCATGCTGTTTCATGATGAGATGAGGAACAGTATAATACTGTGCACCCTGGCAACATGGCAGCAACATGTGTCCTCCATGTTCCCACTTAAAATATTTCCTGCTATAACAAATAATACCAACACGCAGTTTTTTCCTGTGTACACAATAAAACACGTGACATTTATTCTTTTACTTGATACTGATTGGTTAACCTCATCAAAAATATATAGGATACATCAAATCAAGGCTGATTTTTGCATTTGAAATGAATAAATATATCTGTTTTCCAGAGCCAAACTGCATGTAAAAACAATACCATGAACACCAAAAGCCATTTCAGAATATTCCAGTATTGCAATTGCTGTTAATTTATGCCATCACTGAATATAAATATTTTAAACAACACGTGCTCTTAAATTTCATACCTGCTTATACAGTATGTCAGCACTCCCTTTAATGATGTCCATTCTACATAAAAGCAAACGTTTAGCTCGCTAAAACCGATGCTGGGGCAGATTAATCAACGCCACTTGCCCTCTGAATCCAGACCTCTGCACACATCTACACTCCAGTGTGTGTGTGAGTGTGTGTGTGTGTGTGTGTTTCTGGTTTCCTGCAAGATTGTTTTCATGTGCTCATGTGTGTGTTTGAATGTGTCTTAAATACCTATAATCATGTGTGGATGTGTCATGTATGTGTATGTGCATACAAAAATCCACATGTGCATCTGGTGGTTTGATGTGTATTCACTTGCATGTGTGTGTTGGTGTGTGTTGGTGTGTGTGTGTGTGAGTGTGTTTGTGTTACCTGAGGGCATGTTTCTGCCTTTTGCCTCCATCGCTTCTCCCCCTTGCTGCTGCAGTTCTTCTTCGTCGGTGAAGAGCGCTCCGTAGCCCCGGTCCGAGCCGCCTCCATCCACCGTTTATCCTTCGCACTTCTCCCCTGCCTCTCCCTCTCTTCTTATCCCTTCTTGTTTTTACTCCTCTTCTCCTTCTTCCTCTCTGTAACTTGAGCACTCCTCTCTGTTCCAGCGAGCGGGGGGGATACTTCACTTGGTGTCCTCTCCTCTCATTGAATTGTCATGGCAGTCATCTTAGCTACTGAGAGTAGAAAGAAAGAGGCGGAGGGGGGTAAAGAGCAAATGAGAGGAGGGAAGCAAAACAAAAGAAGATTTGAAAGAGTGAGAGAAAGAGGGAGAAAGGATGGATATGATTAAAGAACGTGACTTGGGTTTAGAAACCAGGGGATGCTCCTGCACAGAAGCATCTCCTACACAAACAATGTGTTCTACATGACGATGATAATATGTGTTTGAGTAAACAAACAAACATCCATAACCTAATGCCGACGGGAGAAAACGAGCCCCCTGTCAAACAAGAGAAGCTGGTCTGCCTCTACACAGAGAGCGATATAAAGCAATAGAAAAGAACAGGCGATGCGAGTGAGCGTGCTCTAGTCCATTGCCATGGCAACAGTGAATTCCAAAGTCTATGGCGAAGCTGGCGAGTGTGTATGTGTGTAAGTGTTTGTGTGTCTATTGGCGGAGTAGAGGGATGGATCAAGTGTGTAAATTCCATTGGTTTGCAGAGGAGCCTATATGTCATACATGAAAGATGCAAGCTTACACACGAACATACACACACAGGTTTATATTCTGATGTGCAGAGTTGCATATCGCACATGAGGAATGAACATTCACAGGAGAGATGACAGACGTGTGAGTCATTAGCATTGTGGTCACAGTGTCTGGGCATGTTTCATCCATCCAACTTTCTCCCTGTTGGTGCGATGGCTAATTCTCAAACACTTTGTGCTGGTTCATGCTTTGAAATGCACAATGCAGATGTCTCAAAGCTGAAAGATCCGAAACAAGTAGGGAATCGATTCCTTGCTCGAGGACATTTCAGCAGAGCGGCTGCTTTCCTCCTTGAACTCACCTCCTACATTTCAACAAGCAGAATCTTTCAGAAGAGAAAATCCCCGTTAGCACTGACATAGGGTCAGGTTTTTCCTAGATTTTCTGCAAGATGTAGCCAAAACTGTGGAGCACTAAAAACTCCACTTCATAGCTAATAACAGAAAAACAGCAGGGAATCCCATCAACAGTATTACTAAAGGACCCTTTTGCCCACATTTAATTGACAAAGGTACACAATCAGATTTGAATTAGAAAATGTGTCTGTTAGGAGCCCAGTTTTACAACTACAAACCATCCTCTTTTCAAGTTGTTCTAGTGAAAAAGACCTGACGTAATCATGACACTTGTGTCAAGCTAGAAATTGTGAGAATGGATCTTTTGTAACCTCAAATGGTGACTGTTTCGCAAGCAATATTTTGCAGATGAAGGGTTCAGGTGCTATGGGTTGCTTTGGAAGGCAATTGCAAACCCTATTGTCATAGTTTGGAGGAGAAGTTAAGTGTTGGTGAACATTTTCCCCAAAATATGTCCAATGGAGGTCTTCAACATTTTGGACCCAACACAACATGAAACATGTATAGACTTATAGGTAGGGTAGGTAAGTTTGAGAAACCGGCTCGAGATACACTTTTTGTTATATTCCATGGAATACTGTTAACATCCCGATAGCAATGAATATCTTAAGTGCTTTGACAAAAAATCCATAAAAAAATGTCATCTGTGGAAGCTGTAGTACTGTAAAAAGCACGACCAATCATTTTAGCCGGCCGGGCTAAAGTAACTGGATGGCCTACCTGCCTGTCAGCCTTCCATCTGTGCACAAACTTATCTCGTGCCCTCATTGGTCATGTGCGCGTTTGTGTGTTGGAGGAGGGGCTCTGTAAGGAAGTAGCAGATTTCTTCCGGCTGTGTATTTTCAAATTCTAGCACACTCGAGCTGGTTTCTCCAAAATTACCTACCCCACCTTTAACTAAAAGGGGCAATCAGAACATGTCAGAAATAGATCTCAGGATTATTCAGGCAATAAACGTGATGCAAGCTTATAGCCAAAGTGGTATTACACATATTAAGCTACAGACCATACAAAGACCCATGGTAATAGAACAGGAAACCTCCAAGGACTTGATGAGATTCATAATAATTTGGACCTGGTCCCACTTTGGTTCTTTTTTTGTTTTCTTGGTTCCTAAAAAACAGAAGGACACATGAAGACAAACACCCAATAGAGCAGTGTTTATATCGGGTGTAAAACTACAAGTCAACCTTCATGTTGTGCCATGTGTTTGTCATACATAAGTCACATGAAGCTACCTTCACATGATAAGAGATGTTCTCTTAGCCTGTGCTGCTTCATACAGCAATCTTTAGGTTTGCAACTTTCTCTATGGAAAACAAAGCCAGCAGAGCAGTTTACGATGGCTCATGTAAAGGCAGCTTCACTCGTTTTGCAAAGTTATCGTCAACTTCGTCAACAATCACCAACCTTAGCCAAACTGTTTTTTTGCCTAAACCCAAACTTCCTCACTAAAGTTAACATCAACCACAATATTTTCCTAAACTGAGTTGTTGTATTGCCTCAGCCTAAACATCCTGAAAAAATGTGTTTATTATGAAATGACACTACGCAAGTACCGAAACCAAAATAGACACGCCGTCCCTGACACTTCAATCGTTAGAGGGGTACATAGAGCCTTATAGTTGGAAGTGAGAATGTGTTGAAGATTAACAGCAAGAGGAGTGTGACATCTGGATACATTCTCTGCCAGTGCAGCTGTCTGTCCTTTGATACAATATTAACATTGACACTTCTGTAGGAAAGATTTGACTAGATTTTAATAGTTTAAAATAAATTTGATAAGGCTGCAGTCAATCAAGCTCTAAATCACAAACTGTGTGTTGCAACTCAAAGGGTCTCCCATCTCATTCCTTTTTAAATAAATCCCATATTCTGCTGTTGTGGACAAACAAAAACAGGAACTGTTCTCAGTGAAAGTAAAGAATCAAAACAGTCAGAAACTAAAGGCTTTTTTCAAAGAAAGCAAGCAAAGAGTCCATCTAGAAAAAGCTGTACAGACTGTCTGAAACTCTTCAACACCTCCACCCCCACCAGAGAATAATAATAAGAATTGTTATGCTGCCTTGCATAATTTTTGGCTGATTTTCACCCTTTCAACTTTCAAAATGTCCTAGTGGAAGTGTGAAGTTTGCTCATCCATCATTCAAGTTCCTCTATTTGGGACACATAGACTGAGAGAAAAGCATCGATGTGTCATCTGTGATGTCAATCTTGGGTTTCTAAAGAGAAGCTTTGAAGATGGAATTTGAGTTGCCGGCTCAGGGACGAGCCTATGAAGCAAAACGCTGGATGAGCAAGCAACAGAGTCACAGGATGTCAATTAGGCAAGCATGCTCCCTAACATCTAAGTACATTTCTGTTAGAGAAAAATGCTGGTGATTTTTTGCAAGCTACTGAAAGCACAGAAATTGAAGTTATGCCGTAATTAGATGAATCCTTACAATTTTATCTCATACCTAACAGTAAATCATGTTGAAATTCAAAACTGTGGCTCATACTTTGGGTCATCCCACCATCAGCCATACCACCAGTATATACTGTACACAATATCTCAGGACCAATATCTTTTTTCAGACAGACAGCAGCCAACCTTGTCAATTTAAGGCTGAAACTGATAGGCTGACCTGATGTCAGACAAATTGTCAATATAGGTTTCCATCTACTATCTGACATTGGACCATTCTAACCAATTTCTGTGGGAGGGCATCATTTTTCCTAATCACTAAAGACCAATGTACCCACCTGAATCTAACAGCGTTTTGGTCGGCATAGCCATGACAACACAATGGTTTTGCTGGGGTTTTATAGTGGAATTGTCGAATTGTCCAGACCTTTGAATCCGCCCACTGGTTGAGTTGAAATGGAGTGTAATGTGTAGACAATGTTGTCTTCCAACGTGCAACAAGACGACCATAGCAAAGTAAAAACAAACTATGATGTTGGGCCATAATGCAGTCAAGGGAACACAGCTTGTCAACAACATTAATCCAGCCACACAACACTGATTGGCTAATCATCCGCCACACCTGCAGTGCTCATTGATGCAGCTTCATAATTATTACTTTTTGGTCTTGTAAATGCAAATCCTTTAACATTTTCAAAAGTGATCTCCCCCTCAATTGCAATGCATTGTGTTAAACAATTATAATGATATATATTTGGAGTTAATGATACATAGTGTTATTGGATAACACATCTAGTGGTCATCGGAGGAACTGCAGCTGGAAAAGGATTTTACAATTTGCATTCATGTGATTGCTGCTTTTGAAGCCCTGGAGGACCCCTGGGAGGGCCTGCAATCATAGACAACAAACAGTACAAAAGCAGGAACTCAGACATTGGTTATTTTGTGCTCGACCCCCCTAAAATAAACCTGCACTTTAGGCTTTCAGTGTAGATTATTAGGAAGGTTCAGGCAGCACAACAAAAACAAATGAGAAAATACAAGAAAAGCTGGCCAGTGAATGCACAAAGCAGATGCTGAAAGTTCAAGGACAAATAATCCATGGACTGCATCATGAACTCAGCAACAGTCTGAATCCTGCCGTGAATACAGAGCAGCAGCAGAACATGGCATTGGTGAAGATTATAATTGCAGTGGTTGTGAGCCACCATCAAAAAACAAATCCACGGAGAGTAAAGGTGCGATATGATGGAACATCCTGTGATGTGTGAAAATGTACCCGTGTGGCATGTTAGAATTACACAACTTTGCTATAAATACTTCACAAAATGTGTTTTCTTAATTGTTTATAGAGAACTTTTCAAGGTTCTGAAATTAAACAAAGTGAAAGTGGATAGGTATGAAGCAATATCAGTTTCCTTCCCTATTATTATTCAATACTCAGTCGTATAAATCGAAATGCAGACTTCCCACTCTCTGTATAGTACATCCCGATCCTATATACTAAGGACAGGACAATAGATTCTAATTTGTTATAATAAAAACGGGTTAAACATTTCCAGAAGAGATAATTACTGCATAAATCATTAATGAAGGGTCTGTGGTAAGAAGTAGGCACCTTATTGTCCTAAGGTTTCCTGTTAAATATATTCAAACAGGTAACAGTTATATCACATATTTGCAATTTTTTCTCTTACCTTTCAAAAGCGTTTTCACCCTCTGGACTTCAGCGTTGTTTGATTAAAGCTTTTTTTTGTATATACTTTTTAAATGGACACAAATGCAAAGCGCTGCATGGACGTTCACTTCCCAGATGATTACATCAAGAGTACAAAGTGTACATGTAGGTGAGGTGCGCTCCTCTCCAGCTCTAAGCGCGCACACGCGGCTCCCATTGATGCGCGTTCATGTCGTTAATGCATGACATATGGCAGCGGGATATTGGCGATCGGTTTGATAAATATGTCGATCAGTTATGATCTTACCTTAGGGAAAGCAACTTTTGCAGACGGTTCTGATGCAGGTGGTGGCGAGGCTGGTTGTTGGAGGGAGGGAGAGAGAGAGAAAGAGTGAGAGAGAGCGAGAGGGAGAGAGATGGATGGGTGTCACGGAAGTACTGTCTGCGAATGTGGTATTTTTATTCATAAATGGTAAATATAATACATTGGTAGTTTTTACTTACTGTTAACACATTAATTATCATTAATAATGCTAATTATTTTGTTATGCTATAATTATACTTTATTTTAAATACATGGCAGTGGTAAAGCTTCCAGAAATTCCTCATAAAACATTGATTATCATAACAAATGGAGCAGATATTTGTCTAATCTTGTTTATGGTTAATAATTATTTTGAAAACTGTCTTTAGATTTATTGGATGAATGGATAATTATTATTGAGTTGCAATTAGTATTTATAATACCATGATAAATGGTTCATACATAATTTGTAAAGAATCTATAAACAATATTTTACAATACTTACAATACTTTGTCGACAGTTAATAGTTCGTTTTTGGTCCAGCAACTTCATGTGGTTATATGTTTTTTAAAGTAATTTGGTTATCAACCCATACATTAAATAGTACATACAATGCTATAATGTCTGCTTCATTATATAAGGATTTAAAGTCCGATTTAATTTATTAGCCTAGACTTTTATTGATAATGTTTTTTATACAGAGTTATGGGATCTCATTGTTTCTGCTGATGTAACCACAGATGGAACAAGTTGACATCTCTCTTGAATATCTTCAAAATCTTTTGTAAAGGTTTGCCCCAGCACAGAGAGTCCATTGTGGACCATTTGGTACAATCAGAAAGAAAAGCAGGGGTGTGCTAGAACATTAGGCCCCCGCAAAAATAGCAATAAACTCCAGCAGGGGACTATAATATTTTGCAGAGACCACAGCCCCTATTGTCTCTGCATACTTCTTAATAATTCAATATTTTAAATAAAACACACTTATTAAATGAACATCCATATCATTGTCTAAAATCAACATTTTGCCGATTAATCAACAAGTGAATGATTTATTGTAAGCACCACATCAAAACAAAAGTCTTTATTACTACTATCACAAACACGTAACAATAAGAAAATAGAGTAAAACAAGATAATTTGGTGGGTATGTAAAATATTTGTGTCCATATTTGACAACAAAATCTTATATTCCGTCAAATTGGTGGATGTTTCAATGTCAGTCAAATTGCTAGGAAGCTATTCCATTAGGTGTTGCTATAGCAACATAATTTTCAACTGAAACCAAGTGCTGGGGGCAGGAAAAAAAAAGATCAAAGTAGTCAGAGTTGTACATGTTCACTCTTTGACTGTCAGTCAGCAGGGTTTGGAGAGAGGCTAATCAAAGCCTTTATTTTAAAATGGTTTTATTGATAAAGCTGTTTAAAATGACACCCTTGTATGTATGAAATATTTAGGAAAGAAGTATAAGAGTGGTCTCAATTTAACCTTAGATTCATAAAATATGTTTCTGTTTAATGCCATAATCATTAGACTATTGTGATGCTTTCTGTTTCTCTGTTGCTTTCCAGCAAAGGAGACCAAGGCCGAAGAAAGAAACAAGAAAGCGAGGTGACCAGGAGGGAAGAATGAGTGTGGAAAGCAGAACAGACAAGCCTTTACAGGTTTAATAAGGAACAGGGAGGGATCTAAACGAAGACGGATAGTCAATGTGGATCAGAAGGCTCAGGGAAAGGGGAGGGTTAAGATGTGTGTGTGAGTGTGTGTGTGTGTGAGTGTGTGTGTGTGTGTGTGGCTGCGGTATACACTAGAGGGGAGCCAGAGTAATAAAGACAGACGGAGAGGAAATCAATGGCTGGGCCAGCAAGACAAACATTTAGAAATGAAGTGCAGTTCCCCTCTGTAGCGACAGTAAAAGCCAGTCAGCCAGAACCTGCAGTGACATTCAGAGTCCAGTCACACAGCAGGCAGCAGCAGATTACACAAGACCCCGGACACTGTCATAACATGGCAAGCACTGGAAAACTTAGCAGTATCTTAAAGATGAACCAAGACTGTTGGGAAGAAGAGTAAAGTTTTGTTTCAAAAGTTTGGAATTATTTCCTGTTCTTGCAAAGCAGGGACCACCACAATGAGTAGGACATACATGGGTCTCATGGACACATAGGAATTAAGGACGCAAAAGGCTACATGATATACGGTATTTATTTTCAGCATGATCATTTATTAAACTAGCCAAGTAGTTTTCTTACACTTTTGATTTTGCATTTTGTTTTGATTGGCGTTAACGTTAACCCTATTTGGAGAAAACATGCTTGCCTTGCAACATGATGGAGGATGCAGTAAGTTGTATGGGAAAGTACTTTTTTAGACAACTTGGTGAGTGAAAACTATAAAGAGAGAAAGAAAAGTATTTGTCTTGCTCATAGTTTATTTTATGTTCGTTCCTGGGTTATGGATAGTTGTTTGGATAATGGAGTCGTAATGCTACACTACTGCTTGGCTAACAGCTACAGCTAATGTCAACAGACGGCAGCAAAGTGACATTGAGTAACATAATGGTGTGATCGAGATCAACAATTTAAAAATTGGGTAAAGGTCAATCACAATGTGGTTCTTATGTGTTCAAATGCCATCTTGAAATATGGTTGTTTGAAAGAAAAGTTATCTTTCTCTTTCAGCATATATGTCCACTTCAATGTTGACATGAATATTATATATAGCTTTTTATACTGAAGTCCATATGTTTTTCATCTGGCATTAATACAAGTAACCACACAGCTTCAGCTGATTTAACACAACATTATGGTATTGCAAATCCAATAATGATACAATTATAAATCTGTAACAGTTTATGTTATGTGTAATCTCACTAAGAGTTATTGTTATATTTCATGCAATACCTACAGTACACATGCCAATGATAGGCTTTTGCTTACAGACAGAACCTGTTTCTGCAACTAACCTACCTCCAGGTTTATGCATAAAACTGATAGTTTGGGTTGAAATAAGTATGTTTAAAATATTTGGTTGTATTTCACTTGTCAATTCAACGAAACGACTTGATGTTTAAAATTGTGTTTTTTGGTTAAAACGGCAATGGAACTGGCGTTAAGAAAGACAGACACTTTAACACATAGTGAACAATAAACCCGGTTTGCCATCATGCAACTGGTGACTTTTACAATATATGTGTACGAAATCAATTGTGTACTAATACAGATACGAGACTCAGTGGTCCTGTCAACATAGAAACACTCAACATGTCTTGAGTACATTTTCTGCCCAGTAGGCACCTTGACTGGCGTTGGTGCTCCTGCACACCTGATTCCTATCAACTAATTACTCCGTGATTTGCCTCTGCCTGCACAGCTGACCCTTATTGGCTCACAGGGCTTAAATTCTATTAACAATAGTTTGTGTTAGTAAAAGTTGCCTTGCTGATCAAACCAATCTGAATAATTGTTGACCAGGGGTCAAAATAGGTCTTTCTCACCACAAAGTGCTTGTTACTGCCTCCTCTGATCATATCAGTCTGTTCCTGCTGCTAAAATAATAGGAGCAGCTGTGAGATCAGTGGTGCGGACAGAGCTACATCATTCTCACTCGAGTTTGAGAGGAACTTGCAAACCTTAACATTATTAAGGTCACTCTTCCTAAATCATAAATGGAAAACAAGGTTGTCCAAAATAAAACTGCATTTTTAAAACACACTGCTCTTACCAATGAGCATTTTGGCAAACAGCTGTTTGCTCTTACCACCCCCTAAATACCCATGATGCACCAACACAGGTGCTCAGTTCAGGCTGATTAGACTTTTCTCAGGAACATATAGGTAACAACAAGCTTGATTGTCGTCTCATTTAGCAGAATTTTCTGCACCTGTTACCGCAGGCAGGTTTTTCTTCTGACCTCAGGTTATCGGCAGCTGAAAGGTAGTCTTATTAGCTTTAGTGAAAACACCTGCAACACTTTTTATTATGTGCAGTTTATGCGTAAGATTTCATTTAAAATACAATTTTAATTCATATTTCCTCACAATTGCTTTGCGTGTTGTATGCAAAAAAACAAACTTTGAATCCACTTACCTTACGAAACATCTTCTTTATTCATCATGACTAATTTCTGAAAGTGGAGTTGAGTAACAACCCCTTTTTGAAAGCTTAAGATGAATTCAAGACTCTTTTCAATCCTGTTTGGGAATATTCACAGACTTTTACAGTATTGTTTCATGAAACTTAAGTCATTTCCCTTGATTTCGAAGACCATCTTCCTTCATTCAATAAAAGTTTACAACCCCGAACTGGATTGAGAAGCGTTATATAACAGGCCGCCCAATCTCATCTCCCATAACATAACACCTACAATTACAGCCACTATGGCCCTTTCTCATTTCACTAATTTCCCCACCTCGAATTCTCGGTCCTCCGGTTTCAGTGCGCCATGTTGAAGGACATCTCATTTCTCTAAATGCACTTTGAGGACCGAGGATTGAGCATCGAGGAGGCTCTCTGGAGGAGCTATAACCGAGGATACACTGATGGGTCCTCCGCGCCAGTCCGTGGATCCTCCGCGAATGTATTTCCGGCAACAGTGCAGTTAAAAGAGTTGTGAGGCTCTGCATGCATCCCCTGGATATTATTTTATTAACTGCTTTCATGGCGACGCAATATTCACAGTGAGAACAGCTGTGAGGTCCGTGCAGAAAACAGAGCAGTGTGTAAAATATATATCACTCAGTATAACAGGCCTACATTACTCTCTGTATTTGTATGCTCAAAAGTACTGTATGTCCCCCACAATCCATTTTGTAAAACTTGTCAAAGAAAGTATGCAAAATTCTTTAAAATAAAAATAAATCACTTGGAGGAAATATGAAATTAAACTAGAAATGTAGTGTTTTTTCTCTGTTGTGCTCCAAGATTAATTCAGATAAATATTTTTGAATTACCACTCAACGCTGCCATTTCATATAGAACAGAATTCAGCACTTGTAACAAATGCATATTTCTCAAGTGTGTTAAATGAACTATAATAAACAAATACATAAGAGTCTGGAACCAGGCAAGCTTTATTGGTTTGAACTTAACAAAACACTGCTGGCAGATAAAAATCACACTCCTGCATACAGTATAGCATGTTTGCAAAAATTATGAAAAATAAACAATTAAAGTCACATTAATCTTAAGGTCGGGTTTTGACCAGTATTGAGTCAGTCAAATGTCATTGGACTCAACATGTAAACTTTAAACATTTCTTTACCTTGATAATGTCAACACGTCTTAGGTAGACTGTGTAATGTGTGTTCAGTATGAATATTTACACCATGATCACAGTTAGGGATCTGGAAGTAAAGGAAGTAAACATTTGAGAAAGCGGCTCACTGCATCAAAACTGTACGTCTCTGCTGTGATGTCCTCAGAAACACTGTTGGTTCTGATTTTTATGTCTCAGAAAACAACTCCTCAGAAGTCAGCTACATAAATATATGTGTGTGTGTGTGTGTGTGTGTGTGTGTGTGTGCGTGCTTGTGTGTGTGCTCACTACACAGCATGAATGCTCAGCTTTGGCAATTAAAAAGAAACATCGCAAAACATCAGCAAAAGCTCTCATACTCAGCGGCTAAATGATTTCCTATTTATTTTCCACAAAGCAAATATTCATAACAGATGCTAACACAGCAGTTAATTTGATACATTGTTCTTCTCTTAACAGTACCACAGGATGTAAGCATAACATTTTCCCGCGTAGGTCTAAAAATGGCTACAAATAATGCCCTAAGCTGGGCACGATTGTTAATATGCTACAAAAACAAGAACTTCTTAAGTGTGTCACTTACTTTAATTCACTGTGCAACATGAGAACTTCAATGGGAGTCAAACTGAAAATCCTAAATGTCCCCAAAAAATGCCACTCAACATATGCAAATTTCATATTGATTTGCTGATGAGGGCCTTGAGATTGGGTCACAACTTCAGAACAGGCGAGCAAGTGGATCTTGAGTTGAAACAGTAGCAATTCAGTATTCAGTTAAGTAAATCATTCTGTCACAATCTGTCAAAAACTGGATTTAGACATTTCCAACCTCCTCCCTTACATTTTTAACGATAACATAGCCGAAAAACTTAAATATGGGTTATTGAACGCCGATGAAAAAAAAGGCGAGAAGTATTATTTTACCTGGGGCTTTTTGGAATATCAATTTGGCTAAGATGTTGGGTAGTTTACAGTGGCTGAGACAATTCCCAGGTATTTCCAATCAAATGGTACAATAGTCTTTCCTCTATCACAAGACATGAAACCTTGATCTCTGAAATACACTTGATAAGGAATTGTCTGGACCCAACAGATATTAGTGAAAAGATGTAGACTCCAATAAATTGAGACTGAGCTACTTATATGAATAATAGATTAAACCAGGAGGTACATTGAAATGCAAAGCCATCTGTCTCAGGTTTTCAGTTTGCCTCCCATGTACGCATGTGTTCATCAAAGTGCCATATCTGTAGTATCTAGTTCTTAATATAAACCTTATATTATCATAAATAAAACCAGGAAGAGTCGGTTTCCATTTCTGAACCTGGCTTTAAGAGTTCTGCTTTCAAATACCAATATGTACATACCTAAATCACTTCCATGGCAACAGCATCTCCAAGGCAGCCATTTTGATTGTAACCAGTATGATCACGGACAGCCTCTTGTTCAGTCAATGCTAACGTTGCAGAATCCTGCTGACGCGACCGCAGAACATTTCCAACCTCAAACGGCACTTTAAAAAGTCTCTCAGTTTCATCCATCAACATTTAAACATTCACTCCCAAAGCTTCTCTCTTAAAATACAAACAGCTTATAAAATGTAATAACTAAAACACCTAAAACATACTGTAATATATACACCTCATGGTACGGGATTACGTTTTTGTTTCAGCATGAGGGGGAAGAATACTTTCTATACAGTTAAAGTGTAAATCTCTATGCATAAACAGTTTACCTCCGATTGTGTATATAATATTTGTGATACTGTATAAACTACGGATTATTATAATATAGACATTCTTTATCATATCAGTCAGTTCTTCATGAACACGGTTGGGAAGCAATACTGGGAAAGAATCCCTGATAATGCTACATTATAAACAACACATCTGTGTTGTTATTGGCAGGAGGAGAGCTAATTCACGTTAGCTGCTAGCAGTTAGCTAGCCGATGACACATAATAATGGAGTCGTAATGCTACACTAGTGCTTGGCTAACAGCTACAGCTAATGTCAACAGACGGCAGCAAAGTGACATTGAGTAACATAATGGTGTGATCGAGATCAACAATTTAAAAATTGGGTAAAGGTCAATCACAATGTGGTTCTTATGTGTTCAAATGCCATCTTGAAATATGGTTGTTTGAAAGAAAAGTTATCTTTCTCTTTCAGCATATATGTCCACTTCAATGTTGACATGAATATTATATATAATATATTGATTTTTCTTTATTTAAAGGTGGGGTAGGTAAGTTTGAGAAACCGGCTCGAGATACACTTTTTGTTATATTCCATGGAATGCTCTTAACATCCCGATAGCAATGAATATCTTAAGTGCTTTGATTAAAATGTTTTCCGGCTGTGTATTTTCCAATTCTAGCGCACTCCAGCTGGTTTCTCCAAAATTACCTACCCCACCTTTAAGGTTTATTGTAAATGGGTAATATGTTATTAATTTGGGATTAATTAACATGAATAATGAACAATTAGGCATTTCATCGCTGATAGCCCTAATTTGACAATATTCTTGGGTTCCGTTATTTTTACATTCACAGTAAACTGAACCAATATCACTCTGAATTGTCTTTTTATCCATCACCTGTACTCCTTATCATAATCAAAATCTATATCACTGTAGTCTTGTTTGGAATTATAAGTCAGTGTTTTACAGGGGTTGCTCTGATGGTTTCATTATTTGTTAAGAAAGTGGTCAAAGGTAATGAAGATGTAACATACTGTAGTAACCTTCCCAACCATGTCGATGACATTCCAAAAAGATATTTGATAAATTTTCTTAAAATCTTTTTAAAGCAGGCATCCTTATTCCTTGTTTGATGAAAGGATAATACATTTTTAGCCAGATACCTTCACATGTTTGGTGTTTTAGTGAATGGCCAGAGTTGTGGAAATGATTCAGCTTCCTGTTTCCTGTGCTGCTTCACCCTGTGTATCACGGCCCTGATGATGCAGTATGTACCCGTCAGAAACCTCACAAATGTCTTGTTGCTACTAATCATCGTATCCCCTCCCGTTTTCCCTCCCAGCGTGTTTAAAGTTTTGTCTTCGTCTCAGCAGCAGCAGTGAGTCATCCCTCCGCCCACCTGCTTCTCCTCCCCTCCTCCCCTCTTTTTTCTTTCCTCTATTTGATCTCCCTAAACCTCCCTCCTTCATCCACTCTGCTGCATCTTTCCTCCCACACATTTTGTAGATACAGGAATTGTGTTTGTGTGTGTGGTGTGTAAGAGCTATAACCAATCTCTTCCCCCCCCCCCCCCCAGTTGTTTAAGTAGCCTAGCATGGCGAGGCACTCATTCGCATGTGCGCGTGATAGCGCGGAGGAGGCACGGCTGCTGGTGGCACCCCCATCGGCAGGGACTGGGGTGGGGGTCCGCTGGGGTGGGGATGGGACTGAGGGTGGCCATGGGATGCTCTGGGTAGGGTGGAGGTGGCGGCCAGATGGAGGGGGTGTGGGTAGGAGGAGGAAGTGGAGGAGGAGGAGGCCGGCTGGTGCTGGTAGCTGGCAGCTGATGAAGGCCCAGAGGAAGAGGGCGTCTGCTGGGAGCTGCTGCCCCCCTTGGGTTGCGACTTTGAAGGTGGAGTCTGGTTGAGCTGGATGGAGATGTCGGAGGAGACCTCGGAGGCGCTGCGGCCCCGCTGGGGGGGGGGCCAGGAGTCTGGGTGGAGGAACTGGCCACTGTAGTCGCTGCATTCAGACATGCGGGGTCGGTAGAGGGCGGGGTGAGGCCGGTACAGCTCCTCCTCAGCGTAGCGCTTCATGAAGAGATAGACTGACATGACTCCTGCCCCCTGCGACACATAGAGAAACACAAAGATACTAGGGTTATTGCAATATCATATCCTGTATGTCCTGTAGTACACATTTTGTATTGTGGAGTTACTCCTAATGAGTACTTAACCTGAAAAACAAGAAAAAAGGTTTTGGGGACATTTGTTTTTGGTGTTTTTAATAAAGTCTGCAAAAGTTGTAATGAGGACGTTGGGGTGGATCAAACAAACACAGGACTTTTACCCAGAAAACTTATGTTTGTGTTCCAAGTAAAGACCAAACTCAACATAGACCTTTTAAAATGTACATCCGTAACTTAAATAAAGTAACCAATGTAGAATATTAATTTAAGTATTGCCAAAATCATGATATTTCACTTAACCTTACAATTGTATAGTGTCACAATGTCAGACTGGAACAAGCTAATTAGGTGCACCTTGGAAAATGTAGCTTCCTGCTTTTAGGAGCTAGTCCCTGATAAAGCCGTACAAATCAGCACAACTGGGTTAGGGTTTAGGGTTATAGGGTTAGTGTGTTGCTGCATCCATCCTTTTCTCAAATTGCATCTCTCACCACAGCCACCACCAACTTTGTGGAAGGAAAACACTAATTTATCTAAAAATAAATACACATTTCCAGAGGGGGAGAAAGAATGGAAATGGAAAAACTGAGGTGATTTGAGAAGGGAAAGAATAATGGAGGATTAGAGAGGGGAAGATCAAAGAATAAAAGAGAAGAGAGGAGGATAAGACAAAAGGATGACCGAAGGTAAGAGGATAAAGAGATGGAGGCGATACAAGAATAAAAACAGGGAGAGGAGACGATTGGAATAGTGAAAGAACTGAAAATAAAGGGACAGCATAGAAAAGATGGGAAGTGGGGAAATAATGAAAATAGGCGAATGCATGAAAGGAGAAAGAAGGAAATAGACAGGAGATCAGATACAAGACAAACTAAAGGTACATCGGATAAGGGGAGATGGGCGAGAGAGGCTGCAAATGAAGTGGGAGAGAAATAAGGGAACAGGGGAACTAAACTAAAAAACTAAAAAAACACAGAGGAGGGGACGCGATAAGAGAAGAAGAAAAGAGAGGGTGAGGGACAACAGAGGATAACAGAACTGAAGATTAAAGAGACAAGATCAAAGTAGAGGACATAGAGAGAGATGGTGGGGAAAAGGAAGATATAAGTGAGGAGCTAGGAGATGAGGATGAAGGACGGAGAAGAAGGAGTTGCAGAGCCCCCCCCCCAGTGAGGAATATTCTGATGCATATGGAGCTGTGCTCGACAGACCTGCCGCCCTCAAGTATTCAAGCTATTAACATTTATGAATATTGATGCAGGCAGGGCGATGGGCTCCTACGCAGGCACTTTTTAAACGAGTTTGTGTGTGTGTGTGTGTGTGTGTGTGTGTGTGTGTGTGTGTGTGTGTGTGTGTGTGTGTGTGTGTGTGTGTAGCTGAAATAGTCTGCATCACAGCAAGCTGCAAGCAATGTGTAAGTCTGTGTTTGTGCACATGCTTGAGTCTGTGTTGCTAAGCAGTGGCTGGTCCACATCCACGCTGAATTCCAAACACTCTGCGTGTGTGTGTCTGTGTGTGTGCATATTATCTCTTTTGTCAGTTACATAGCGTCAGTAAATGTGAAGCATCAGTATATATTAGTGTCACCGGGAACTGCTCATTGAGTGTTTACTTGAACATCCGAGTGTGTGTGTGTGTGTTTGAGTGTGTGTGGTTGTCTGATTACCTCTTTCAGCAGGAAGGAGGAGGCAGCAAAGGCGAAGGACCAGCCGTAGCGGTAGTGGAAGAACTGCTCCGGCTCTCTGGGTCGGTTCATCACCTCGTCATTAATACTGGAGATATATAACACCAGGCCAACCACCAGACTGAGACCTGCACACACACATTCATTATCGATACTGTTATTACTACAAATACAGAGTTTACAGATAACGCACCAACCCATTTGAGGATGAAACCATAATCTCTTGTAAAAGGCTTTAACACAAGCTCTTACATGGTGCTGATTTTACTGACGATAGACTGTATAAAATAATTGGACACTGTGACATCACACATTGGTTTGTGGACAATAGCTCTGAAACCTCGCTTTGGAATAATATTGGTTATCTGAACCAGCAGTGATACGGGAGGTAGGAACAAAGTACAACTGGAGAAAAACATTTTTAAGCCACCGAAATGTAACAGAATATTTCGTGTTAGGTGCAAATGCAAGATGAGCAAGATGAAAGCATTAAAAACAGAAAGCAACCAGACAGGACAGCCCTGTGTTAGTGACCGGTCAGTAATAAGGTAGAGAAGCCCTGAAGCACTATCGCTTTATCGTCTATTTTTCCTCTTTATGTGACTATGATTTACAAAATGAACATCATGCTCTACTGAAGAATAATTAAAACAAGTGATGGAGATTATACAAAGCAAAATGTTTACTGAGGTGAATAAATCAGGTTAGAAGTAGGGTAATTTTCTTGTTGACTTCTACACAATCCGACTTCTTTTTGCAACCATGAGAATCGCCTCCTGCTGACCATTAAACATAATGTAGGTTCAAGTCTCTTCCGACGTTGGCTTGCTTCAGACCCAGATGTTGCCACTGGGATTCACCTGATTATCCCCTGGCAGGTGACTAACTGTCATACCAACCAACCACCTGACTAATACATGTAATAACCACATCTTCTATTCACCTTACATACACTCTATCTGCACTCTACTGAATCTTAAGAGCTCATGAGAGATGGTGTTTGTCAGGATCTCGACACAAACTGATGAACCCAAATGCACGACCCAGAGACAGAGTCTTGAATGTAGAGACTTAAGAAAAACTTAAGCCTACAAAATTAACAAAAGAATCAAAACCTGACGTGAGTGAAAGTGATCTTTTCTGAGCTGAGGCTTGGCACGACCATTCGGGGAAACAAACAAGACGAACTGACACAGGACAGGGGAGAGACAGGACTATTTAAACATGAGGTGAGTGGGAACAGGTGGAAACAATCAAGGGGAGGAAGAAACAGGGCCTGAAATGAAAGACAAGAGGTAAGTACAAAATAAAACAGGAAATGGAAAACGAGACATGACAATAAACACAGAGGCTGACTAGAGATGAAGAACCTAAATAAACAGACTTGACCAGACGTGAAAAAACATGAAAATGACAGACACATAAACATAACTAACACATTTGACGAGACACAACAGTGTTCCAATCAAACAAAACATCAGAGACAGAAGAGGTATATTGATCTCTACTTTGGCAAACCCATTAGCATGCAGTTGGATAAGGAAGTAGTTCTCCATATACCTGGGCCTTCAACCCATTTAACAGCGGCAACTTGTCAAAGCAGGTAAAGCAGAGCTGGATCAATAACATTAATGCTGACTGCATCCAGGGCTCTGGCAGTGTGTATGCTAACTCCCTGACATGGCTCACTGGGACACTTAATGAGCCATGGCTCATTTGTTTTATTTACCCCTGTGCTTTTCCTAATTTAACAAGTTAACTCCAAGTGTACGAGAGATAATAGGGCCATTTCAACTGAATGCAATAGACTTGGTTGTCTTTTCGACTTAAATTATATTAATTGATAAATCAGTTTCCTATTGATTTTGTCTTTTTCCCGAAAGCTACCTCCTGGAGGTCAAAGAGAAGATTAAAAATCACTGCAGGAACACTCAAAGCCTCTTTTTTGAATGTGTGTTACATGTGCATTTTCTGAGTAAAAAGTATTGAATGCTAAAGACAAACCTTATAAGAGCACTGGAGATGCCAGTGGTCAACTGAGTGAGCAGGAAGAGGACAAGGAAGTACGATAACACATCTTTTTAATGTCCAATCCCTTACAACTGCCCTAAAGACTATAAATCAAAGCAGGCGGTGCAAGGCTAATGTTACATTACCGTTGTTACCCGGTTCTACTAATCCTATTTCAATGGGCCTTCAGTCTCTTTGTTCTTGTGTGTGTGTGCTCTGTAGCTGGAGAAACTAATGATAACGTGTCCTTGTTGTGCTGTAAATAGGCTGAGAAAACCCCAACAACAGGCTGTGCTGTGGTACAGAGATAAACAAAGACAGTCACACACACACCCTCATTAACAGTGTGCCTGTCGAGAGACTAACCACAGCAGCTGACCTCCAAAATCCTCCAGCAGTGAAACTCAACACCACAAAATGCTACCATTTAAAAAATTACCTTACAGCTCTTTCTCACTAAAAACATATCACTGATAGATAATCTGACAACACTACAAACAGGGATGAAGTAAATAAACCCAAGCCAACACAGACTTTCATTTGAAAATATGTTAAGCCAGTTTAGGCCTCTGCGTCAGGGTTTCTCTCAGGCTCTGAGGCTCTGCAGGGCTGATGTGCTCCAAAAGTAATAATGGCAGCGCTGCAGATCCAACATGTTAGCCACCAAACACTTATTAAGGCATGGCAATTCGTATCTTTTAATATTCAATTCGGTTTTCAGGTGTTACCTAACGTCTAATAATTTGCAGGTACCTCAACTACATTTTTTGTTACCATCTTTCATGATAATAATACTTTACTGACAGATTCTTTCTTGAAACAGTATACTCTTTATTGTATATTTGACCTAGGATTGACTGCGCGTTTGTGGATGTATTTTAAAATACATGTCAACAAGTCGCAATGCCAGACTAACACATATATATATATATTTTCTTTAAAATAATGGTAGAAATGTCTAACGTCCTTCCCTTACGTAAGGTGAGAAGGCTATCTGTTTCAATATCTGTTTTATTATTTCATATTTATGCAATAGACAGGCTTAGTCAGACCTTATTTAACCTGACCATCTAAGACCAGTTTAAGGCCTAGACTATTCTTAACGTATCTAATCTAAGGGCCCTTTCCTCATAAAGTGGCGCACATCTAGACTGAAACATGTGCCTTTATATACTGTATGTTTCTTTAATTAAATGAACACAAATTAATGACTTAGTGTAATTTCTTCTTATCTTTAATATTTCTATGCATGTTTCTTAATTAATACTAAGCTATCTTTGGCGCTTTACTACTGTAAAAAAATGTAAATTTCCCCTCTGTGGGACGAACAAAGGTATTCTGAAATCAATTCAAACCTTTAATAAACCATTAAAATCTTGAGACACATTTACATGTTGTATAAAACATTAGAACTTCTTATGAACCAATAAACCATTAATAAACCAGTAAAACCTTTAATAAACCAGCATTAAAACCTTTAATAAACCATTACAAACTTGAGAAACCTTTACATGCTGGTATTCTGTTTCTGATTCTGATCAAATACAATATGCTACAATGTATATTTCAGCTTAGGAGACCTATCTTATTAGTGTGGCTTTAGGAAAAACAAATTCATAAGGAGACTGTGTGCATTGTACTTGCACAAACGTTTCAGGATGTACCTGAAGTGGAGCATCGTATACAACAAAATGGACTGTTATAACAAACAGGAAAAAAAGATTACCAGAGAACCATTTGGTTTTGATAAGAATAACCTGCTCACCGGTGAGATTGTCGGGAGATACAGCTGTGTAAAATAGGGCATATCAAAGCAGGGGACGCATAAACCATAAGGAGACATGCATGAGATTCGTTGTAAAAATGTGAGAGTTGCAACTTTCCTCTTTGGCCATCAGATGGCAGTGTTGTGACTCAATGCTCATCTCAGCCCTCATCTGTGGGTCCCACATGTGTTTGAACTGCTCACACACACACATGCACAAATGGAGAGAGAGGAAAATAACAGAGACAGAATTGGAGGAGCGAAGTTTCTGGAGGACATGAGAGACGAGAATGGGGAATAAAACAGCTGGTCCACAGCAACCACGTTTTAACCTCGGGGTGCGCTGTGACTGATGGGCAGTGTTCCTCATTACAAAAAAACACACATGCCTACTGAGAAAAACAGTTTTTCCTGCAAATTCATTCAGAAATAGCAGTCATTTCAGTTGTTTTCCATAACTCCCCTGCTGGGTGTGAAATAACTGAAGTGCTGCCTTAAAAAACATTGTCTTTTATGGCAAAAACAACACGTTTTGGAGCATTGTACTTTTGCTTTCTTAGAGGTTAAAACCATCGATTTCTGAGCTCAATTATTTCTTTGTGCTATAACTGAAATATTTCTGATAACAAAATGTTTTCTAACTGAAAGTGCTTAGCAATTGCTAGATGTTGAAATTGATGGTTAATGTTTTTTAGACAATTAACATTTTCCCCTTTTTCTAAAAATAAGAATATGTTCTCACATCATGCTGTTGCCAAAGTTGTTTTTGCATTGTCAATTGTGTAACTTTTCTTAAACTAAAAACATTTTGATCATATTTAGACAATGACATAAAATACAATGAAAGAAATGTCTATGCGTACTTATCATATTAAAAAGGTATTTAAACGTTTTATATTACATTTGAAAATCAATGATTTCATGTATAGAATTACTGAAAACTTGCGTCGATAGGTGAATAGTTGACTGTGTATGTATAATTGGTTACATTAAATAAAGCCAAATGATATAGGAAAAGGAATACCAATCAAATATGAACCAATATTCTATAGTGTCTTTCTACTTTACGGAACAAAGTGCCTTTTTAGCTGTTTTTAGTGTACAACTATATTGATCTAATGTTAGTCTAGATATGCATTATAAATCTTCTTGTTTGCCTATGTGTATTTTTGTATGCATGTGTGTTTCTCCATCTTGGCTCGAGGACATTCCCATGACATCATGGTGTGAAGTCAGCACTCCACCATGCTCAGCTAGCATCTGTGAGGTAAAGCTCAGTCATGGAGAAAAAAAGGGGCTAAAACAGGAAGGTGATGTCATCCTGTCTGCTCAGAGACTACAGAGATCCACACAATCCCAACAACCGCCTCATCTGCTGAACGCTCGACCTTGCACTCGAGGAAAATGGACAGAAACGTCACCCAGTTGCCCGCAGCGACACGACGAAGTGATGTCACAATGTTGGCTTCACTGACTCCCCTTCACAAAAGGACTCTGATGGAAATTAAACAGGAAGCTCAGTGAAAGCTTCCACTGCTGTCGTGACAGATAGGACTTTAGTTTGGTTAAATGCCAATCCTTAGTGAAACAGGAAGATGGAATGTTGCTCTATGTGGCATTGTCTGGCCTTTATATACTGTCAGAAATGTTCCAACCATGTTTGGTGTGCCAACTATGTTACCCAATCATTTACAAAGTTGTTGTTTGTCCCTAAAAAAATGTTTCTTTGTTGTGTTGAGGCATAGCAAATGTGGTTCTTTAAAAACATGCTAGCACATTTAAGAAAACAACCGGCACTGTTTACATCAGTGTTCACTAAGTAACAGTCTTCTTCTTCCCTTTTGTTGGCCCATCGCTATGTTTCTTGGCACTCTAACACCGCAGACTGTCGTTTAATTAAAACCATTGGCAGGAATATATTCAGACCCGGCGCCGTGGGAGGACCAGGGAGGGCCAGGCTAAAAAATGAGCACTTTACCCCTGCTTACACCTATATGCCGTGAGCTGATTATCGAGCCTTCATTGTAACAGTCGCGGGTGTACTGTGTATGTGTGGGGATTGTTGCAGTAGAACATTCCACTGTAGCGCCGGTACCTTAATGGGAAGACACCTTACATGTTTGAGCAGCCTCTATGAAATGTCAAGCTACCCCACAGCACCCCCAAAAGAAAATCTCTGGCGCCGCCACTGGCCGCGGCACATGACGGTTTTGTGTGCCCTCCCATGAAAATCATAAGCCCTCTCTGTAGATTTGTTTTGGCGCCGGGTCTGAATATATTGTGCCACTCAGCCATGTTCATATGCTTCCTCGTGCATGTGGGACATGCTCACAGGAATTTTGATTCACAGCACTGCTTATTGATATTTACACAACAGAGTTTGGTAAATTCTCTTTTTAATCCAAATTACTTCTGACTTCTTTCCTGTCAAATTAATTGAAACTCAAAATGAAGTCCTCTTTCCAGCAAGCTCTCCTGGGAGTTGGGAATGAAATACACCCGGTGGCTGAATATAAGTAGACACGTAAACACTATACCCTGTTAAACATGTCATTCTTCTTCTGTCTCATGCTGTCTATCAGATTTTCGAACCAGCTGCTGAGATTTTCGAACCAGCCGCTGAGATTCGCTCCCTTTCAGCATTAACAGCATCCATCTGTGATTCTAGGCCATACATACACATTCCAGCTCATACTAAGGGTTTTGAACAGGGTTGAGGTCAAGTCTCTGTGCAGTCAATTTAATTCACAATTACACTTGAGATTCAAATGTATTTTGTTACCGGCTTCTTCAATACTTTCATTTATTCACTTACTTTTCAAGTTACTGTTACTTTACTGCTTACTTTTTTATTAGGTGTTTTTCTTTTTATTTAATATGCAAGTCCATTCTGTTTTCCTTTTGACTTTTGTCTACACTGCACCTTTGTTGCTGTAATGTCGCACATTTCCCCGCTGCATGACTTTTGAGATTTCTGAGGCGGATTTGAACATATTGGCAAAAAGAAACATATATTCTATAAGCTTAGTGTGGCAGGGGGTGAGAGATGTTGTGAAGCATTGATCAATCTAACACATTGAAGGGAAGTCTGTTTTTATATAGACTACCATGAGGGTCTATAAAAAGAATTGTGTGATCAAACATTTCCTCCAGTGACTTTCCACTCAGCACTTTCAGCTACGTGGATGGAATAGAATTCGACTGCACTAAAGCGGTGAGGTCCAGTCTATTAACTGCAGTGGCAAAAAGGTGTCACCTAGAAAATCTTTTTACCACCTAATTATTAACTTTACTACAAAGTCGCATTCAAGACTACTTGTTTTAAGTGTTAACTTTTTACCAAAAGCCTGCAGTGAAACATCAAATGATTACTGCCCTGAAGCTTCCTCGGGAGATAGCAATTATTTGGAATGAAATCCCATTCACTGTTCAGCCAGCAGCAAGAACAAGGTAAGGTCTGACAAGCTGTCAGCTGGGAAAAGGAAATGAAAAGTGGAGTCTAAATCTTCCATCTTTCATTTTCATTAACCTTGAAGAATTCTGACTTTTAACAAGCTAGCTTCTCTTCTGCTCTGCTGCTTTTTAACTCCATATTTACTTTCACAAACGTATTTTAACATACCTTGACCTTTTGTCCTGTGTCTACCGTCCTGTGGCTTTCCAGATGATATGCAGCAATATGCATATTGTGCAGAATACATGTTTTCAATGAGATTTGATCTTTATATCTTTATGTTTCTTGATCTACAAACTATCAAATGACTTCTCTGAAAGACCTTTAAACGTTATTTTTTACTAATCTAAAGAAACTGAATGGTCATTTTTACACAAAAATTAATTGTGTTAATTCCACAAAACCAGTGGGGGAAAGTAAGTACATTTACTTAAGTGCTGTACTTAAGTACACAGTGCTTTTTATTCTTTATAGTTCTACTCTATTACATTTTGGAAATGTACAAATTGTAATCCACATTTGTTTTACATAATTATGTATTTACTAGTGACTTTATACATTTAGATTTTGACACAAAACATTTAGGAAAAATGTTTAAAATATGAATATTTGCTATGGATTAAAGTATGAAAACTAATTGCCCTGTACTTCAGGGACAGACAAAGACAAAACAAATGTTTGTATTGCTGCAGAACATAAAATAATATACATTTAACAAGTCAACCAACATTAAGGGGTCAGGGCAGTCAAAAGTAATACCATAAACTGCTTAGCCCTTTTAAAATCTTATACAATGCTATACCTTATGCCTTATTATCTGTAACAAGACCAGATTGAAGTCTTTCCCATCATCATGCCAAGCTGTAAAGCCTGCAATTTAAAGTGAGGTAAGAAAAAGAGTGTAATCACTTGATCATAAACCTCAGGGAACAGCTGGTGGAGGATTGGCCATAAAACAGGAATATATTCCTCACAGGAGGGGCATCTGTCCCATTAGTTGGATGGAGCCCACACAATTTTACTTTTGGCATGAATTCACTGAGCAAGTAGCATTTTGTATTCCTAGAAAATGTGTTTGTTCTCCACAGAGTCTCCAGCCGCTATGTACTGAGCTTTATCTCCCAGGCTGCTTTGCAAAGACTACAAGACACAGCAGAATAATTGGAAAATATGGAAACAAACCGTGACAAGAAAAGCCTGGAGCCTGTTGTTCCACCAGAGTATAAAATCTGCTCTAATATGAGGTCTGTGTGAACACGACTGGAGTATGTTCTTTTACACTTTACATTGTGTTTGTACGTGTTCCTTCTGTGTGCACAGTACCTGACAGTATGAAGAATATTCCGGAAACAAAGGCGAGGATGGTGCGCTGAGGCCGGATGTGTCCGATGTTGCTGATGATGAAGGCGGTGAAGACGAAGAGCAAGGAGACCATAGGGAAAGGAGTGGCAGTCCGGACCATTTCTGGAAGATTGTGAGACAGGACATGAGAAGGATGAACAAGAATAAAAAACAAGACCTGAATTCACTTAAAGGTGGGGTAGGTAAGTTTGAGAAACCGGCTCGAGATACACTTTTTGTTATATTCCATGGAATGCTCTTAACATCCCGATAGCAATGAATATCTTAAGTGCTTTGACAAAAAATCCATACAAAAATGTCATCTGTGGAAGCCGTAGTACTGTAAAAAGCACGACCAATCATTTTAGCCGGCCCGGCTAAAATGACTGGATGGCCTACCTGCCTGTCAGCCTTCCATCTGTGCACAAACTTATCTCGTGCCCTCATTGGTCATGTGCGCGTTCGTGTGTGTTGGAGGAGGGGCTCTGTAAGGAAGTGGCAGATTTTTTCCGGTTGTGTATTTTCAAATTCTAGCACACTCGAGCTGGTTTCTCCAAAATTACCTACCCCACCTTTAATAAAGAACGATAAAATGCTGCTGAAAAAGAAATCTCATTAACATTTGAAGTCAGGCCGTTGTTTAAACAATTTATTTAAAAGAATCCCCTCCTTCAATGAGTCAACGTTGTTGCTTTGAGTCTAGAAGCAGCAGGGATAAAAAAAGACTTGAAACCTTGAAAATGTTAACAGTGAATCATAAATAACGATAAAAAATGTCATTAACTCAATTTCTATTGTGAGTCTTGTTCATCCATGTGGATTAAAGCCAGTCAACCAAGTACCGTAAAGGAAACCTTTTTTTAAATGATTATTTATTTTAATTTTCTGCATAAACATGAATGTGTTTATTTTCAGTTTGTGGTAGAATAGTTTGGTATATACAACAGGAAGTCCACATTTGTGAATTTCAAACTGTTTAGTAACCTTGAACATAAACCTCCTTGTTATTGCACATATTAGATGGTTTGATTGTCTTTTAACTCCAATTTGGTGTCCACCAATTCCTGAGCAGAATGTCCGGTTGCTAAATGTTCCACTATGTTAATTACCAAGTCGCTAATTCTAGAGAGACCATGAAAATGGGTAAAAACTGTGGCGTTACCTGCTTTAAAAACAAAAAGAAAGACCCTGAAACACTTGCTAGAGATAAGTGGGGTAATCACAACGTTTTCACATCACACATTGTGTTGGGTAACACTAACATCAAATCATATCTAGTGGAAAATGCTGTGCTGCTGAGTTTTGGAGCATGTTTGTGTGAAGGTCCTAAACCCTAGAGATGTTACGTACTGCGCCAAGGCTTCGGGGTGTGGTGAAGCGTGTATCGAGGCTTGTATCGTTTTAGGACAGTGATGTCATCGATGGGGGTGAGTTTAACCAGAAAAAGAAATTCTGACCAAGTCAAACAGCAACTAAGCAAACATCTGACTGCCAACAATATTTTAAAGTTAGTAACTATTATTACACTCTTTACCTAGGATACATGTATTGCTTCTGCTATCAACAGTGTCAAACACAAGAAGGGACTACTGACCCCCCCTTTCTCTTCAGCCCAGAGAGTCTATACTTCCAAATACCAAAATGACACTACTACTACTAAAACAAGGGTAACGTCTTAATTAGAAAATGCTGCGCACACAAGCATGTTAACCTGGTAATCTATGTTATTGATAAACCTGGAATTAAATGAACTCATTGATGGCTCCACCCTGTTTTCCACTAGGCCCTGGGTGGCCTGAATCAGCATGATGACACAATACTACTACATAATACAATTTATTTCTCAAAATACCCAAATACATATACATTTTAATGGAACCTACTGGGGGTTATGTTGAGAAAGGCAGTATATGATTTATTCAGCAACTTCGCCCACACTGCTCCCACAGTGTTATGACTTGTGTGTCTACCTGAGGACATTTATCGAGCATTAAACGGAATAAATGTCTTCCCTCTGGTGTCTCCAACAACATGGTGTGCTTTACTTCAAAGACAAAGAGCAAACTGTGGTGGGCAGATCACTTTGAAGCCAATTCACAGTGTCAACATCCTAAATCATTAAAGCAGCGCGGAGACAAAATGGATCCTCTGGGATGTAGAGAGCTCTTGACAACCATTTACTGTTTGACCATAAAAACAAAAGATAAATGTTCACAGGGTTCTTAAACAAAATGGCTTTTAAATGGTTATTTTGCCAGGAACGGGGCTTTATGTAACTTTTTGGCAAATGGCATAACATGTATACATTTATTATGTGTCCTGAGAGACCAAGTATCCAAAAGACAAAGTGCTTTCGTGTCAGCATGTAGAAATATCTGAAGATGGACCTATGTTAATGTTTGGTAACGTTATCTAAAATAAGTGTTACAATGTTATGTTTTTAATTTGATGAAATATGTTCTTAAAGCGCAATTCTCTAACATGTATTTAGAGAAGGTATGATGGTAACAACAATAGGATTGTATTGTCGTTTGTTTTCAGGGGTGTCAAACGTACTTTTATCCTGAGCCAAATCAGTATTATGGTTGCCCTCAAAAGGCCGGTTGTAAATGTAGACTCCTAATCATATTACTTTGACTCATTCGATTGATGCATTTGTTTGTTATCACATTTAATACTAACTGAAATAATAACTAGCTCTGAAAGCAGAAGTCTGGCAAGCAGACTTTAAGTGCTATTGCAAGGCCTAGAAAATAAAAAAAGGGTTTTGTGACAGAAACATATGCTTGTGCATCAATATATTTGCATGTGCTTAGACTCAAAAATACTGTATGTGGGCACACACAATCACTTTCTACTGTGTTATTATAACATAAGTCCCATAAAGAGATTAAGAAACCCTCATCATCACTCATCCAACAACATTTTCATTTATACTGTTAAAAATGAATACAAAACTGAGCGGTGAGATGAAGACTAAAACAAAATGCAATACCATTAAACAACCTTTTTCTATTAAATTAAGACAATTAAAAAAAGTGCCGCTGCTGATATTGAGGCACTTTGCTGCCCATGTAACACGGTCGAGGTGAATTGTGGGACATGTAGTTTATGGACAGTGTACTAGTGAAAATCACTATAGAAATGATAAGCAAATAATAATTTTTGCTAGCTCTTGCGGGCCACATAACATAGAGTGCCACAGTGACGCGTCCTAAAACCCGGAAGAAGCTTACTTCCGGGTTTTAGGACGCATCACTGTGGCACTCTATTAGCGGGTTTGAAATGGTTCACATGTACTGTACGTTTAGATGTGACTCACTGAGTATGTTGGCTGTATTTTCTGTCGTGATCTCAATCTCTGGCTCCGTGAAATACTCTGCCGCCACACATCTTCCCTTCTCCGGTCCTGAGAGAAAGAGAAAAAAAAAAGATTGAAAAACGAGAAGAAAGGCAAGAGAGAAGAAGTCGGTTGAGCAGGAACTAGGTCTTATCAGGTCACATACAATATGGAAATATTTGTATCTAGAAAGAAGAATAAACAAACAATTTTAAACAAAAGTCAAGAAAGATGGAAAAAGGGCAGACAGACAGTGGTGCAGACGAACAAAGAGATTTGGAAATGATGAATAATAAGAAAGGTGAGAAAGGATCCCCCAAAGAGATCATGAAAAGATGGGAACACTGAGCCAGACAATGCAAGAGAGAGATATAGTGAATTAGCGGCAGAGACAGATGGAGGTCAGGAGGTTTAGGAGAAAACTGGGCCGTGAGAGAGGAGAACGGAATACAGACACGACAATTAACATCAAAATGTAGGCAGACACAAAAAACTAAATCTACACGGAAATGTGTCAAAAAATGGAGCATCACAAACACAAACACAAACAGGATTATTTGTCTCTCTCTCTCTTTTCACATACACACACACACATAGATGCACAAACACACACAGCCATTCCAAATGCCACCAGCGTTTTCCTCCCCTGACCTTTTGTACCAGGCGTCAGACAACAGGGAAACACAAACATGGCCGCCTCCCCAGAGCAACGCCATCATGACCCCGAAACACAGACAGCTACTGCAATGAGGACAGTTATTTGTATCCACCCTGCTGTGTGTGGTGTGTGTGTGTGTGTGTGTGTGTGTGTGTGTGTGTGTGTGTGTGTGTGTGTGTGTGTGTGTGTGTGTGTGTGTGTCTGTGTGTGTGTGTGTGTGTGTGTGTGTGTGGGTGTGTGTGTGTGTGTGTGTGTGTGTGTGTGTGTGTGTGTGTGTGTGTGTTTAAATCAGTTCTCCAACTCATACGACCAAATAGGTTGATTGTTCAAGCCCTTATTACGACCTATAATCACGTTTTAAAGTTTTCGACCTCTAGTGCTCCCGTTGAATGCAAACGCTACGGAGGGTCGTATATTCAGAAATAACCCTCTCTGGAAAATCCTAAATTGTAGGATAGTTTGGCCATTAAAATGCTTTTTGATTAGATTTCTAGCGAGAAGTGTATATTGTACTTTCAGAATCCACGTCCAGTGGATGTGTAGGATCTATAGTTTGATAGATATTACGAAGATGATTTGAGGTTTCGCCAGGAGAACGTGTAACGGCAGCGTCCATGTAAAGTTAGCGTCAACCCTCACGGGGTGAAAACAGTATTTCCGGTCTCGAAGCTTTCATAATAAAACCGTATTCCCCCCACTGTCAAATGATTTTAAAGCTATATCTGCAGTACTCATGCACTAAAAACATCAGTTTATCCTTGTTAATTACACTACATTAATTGGTTTAAATTGTGTACAATGCTTTTGTGTTTTTCCCATAGGTTTTTCCCTTTAGATTCTGAGAGACACATTTCTTTTTTCAGAGGTTTTGATAGGCTAAAACATCAAACTTGAAGCTCGGTGATTGGATGTTTTAGCCGCAATGCACGTTTGGATATGGTGTTTATGCGATATGAAATCCGATTTTTTTTTTTTTAAATAAAATAATACTTTATTCCGAGTGTGCTTGCTTTTCTCTTTGAAAGTCATCACATAACGGCATTGTAATAAACGGTTCGGCTGCATTAAATATTACATATCTGCCGTAGTTCTCTATTTATAGAGCCCTGATGAGAAGACCTTTCGACAAACTGGAAGAAATGCCGCCGAAACTGAATATGTGACGTGGATCATAAATATATCAGCAATTAAACAACATCTTCAATTTCTCTTCACACAATACGTCTGCTTGCAGTATCAACACTAATTCGGCTGACTTTTATATTTGATCCAATTGGTAAATAGGCTGATAGAAAGGGACTTTTTAAGGGACTTTTTAAACTTTTTAAAGATATTACTGATTTTCTTTGAATATAAGAATGTAAATACTGAGTTGAGAGGATAGTCAGGGGTTTTGGGTGATGGGAGACCCATCTATGGAATCAGCATTTCAATAGCTTACCATTAAGTGATGGATATACCTTTCTGTCTATGTTTTACAAATCAGATATTAATGTGTATACACATTAATATCTGATATATTACATTATATATATCATATATAATATATATGATATATATCATATATATATATATATATATATATATATATATATATATACATTATCAGCTATAATATTTCTATAGAACTACAATATGTGAAATATTATAGCAATATCCTGTACAATTATGTGAAAACATGAATAAAACTACACATCTTCAGATGTTATACACATACGTGTCCTACACTAATAATACAAAGTTATTATGGCATTGTATGCTGTGTATTATTTGTAACATCTTCAGAAACTACACCTTTCCAACTCCTCACCAGCTGACTGTTACTGGTCTATACAGGTTCATGGTACAATGCATAAGCTTCAAATCGAGAGACTGAAACTGTATTTTTCTTTACCGTTCTGTTTTAATTTCACAATAAAGTTAATAGTATATTATGTTTGATATTATTATGTTTTATTAACTAGACCACTGGTATTTTAACCCGCACCGCCTAGTGGTTAAAGAACGTTATTGAATTTTGTGAATATGTTATATTTGATGAAAACTTTTAAATATTAAGAGTAGCCTATATACAAAATAGTGGGAAAGTAGAAGGTCAATGATAGAAATATAGAATAGAAAATATCAAGAAGATACTGTAGTGATCTCTACAATAAAACAGCTAGTGGAGGACGTCCAAAGATATTAATAGGAGGATGTGCAAAACAGACAAACTAATAAGGCTTTATTTAAACATTAAAGAATACTTTAAGTTAAGGTCTTCTTTTGAATAAGAACAAAAAGTTGGGAGTATCAACAGATAAATATTAAGTCTGACAAAGTACTTAACGTCTAATATATTGCATAGTTTATTTTGGCACTTGACAATCACCTTCCCTGAATTTGACTCAGGTGTAACTAAAGTCTGATTTAAGGGTTGTTTATATTTCACATCATTAATCAGAATCTGCAAAGTAACTAAAATAAATGTAGTGGAGTAAAAATACCAGGTTAACCTCTGAATTGTAGTGGAGTAGAACAAAGTAGTACATGCTGCTGTAACAAAAACATTTCCCAACTTGGGATCAATAAAGTATATCTTATCTTATCTTATCTTAAGATGATCGATGGCTACTGCCATATTTGCAAAATGTGCCTCTGAACCTTGACAAGTGCATGTTTCAGGCTTATCAATTAACAACAGGAGGGGTCACAGACATAAGACCAGCTGTTAAATAAAGCTCTTCTGACCTTAGCTGTCATGTGGGTATATTAATGCTGCCCATTATGGACACAAGCTATTTTCACCCATTTATTAATTATATGTTTTAAATTTGATAACACCAATGTGTTTCGTATCCCGTCTTTTATAACTACAATTCCCAGTAGAGATGTGCCATAGAACATGTTGCGAAACACAATAGCCAGTATGTGTAGTTCTGGGGGGTGGGCTGGACCCGTTCGAGTCCAGTTTTGGATAGTCTGTCGTGGTTCCATTCCATTTCAAAGAGCTGTTTGACGCTCGGCGTAACCTTGTCGCACTGCCACTCCAACATCCAATCACAGAGCTTGAGGACTAATCACAGGGTTTGTAAAGCAAGGCGGATGTTGAAGTCCCAAACGATAGCTGTGGATTCTGGGTAGTGTAGTGTCTTCGGAAACTCTGTAGTGTCTAAACTCCGAAAAAACTATTTGTTTCTCCGAATCGAAGGTTAAAAACACAAAAGCATTGTACACAATTTAAACCAATCAATATTGTGTAATTAACAAGGATAAACTGATGTTTTTTAGTGGATGAGTAATGCAGATATCACTGTGTAATCATTTCACAGTGAGGGGAATACTTCCGGTTTTATTATGAAAACTTCGAGACCGGAAACACTGTTTTCACCCCGTGAGGGTTGACGCCAACTTTACATGGACGCTGCGTAAAGACGTAGTACACGTTCTCCTTGCGAGACCTCAAATCATCTTCGTAATATCTATCAAACTATAGATCCTACACATCCACTGGACGTAGACTCTAAAAGTACAATATACACTTCTCGCTAGAAATCTAATCAAAAAGCATTTTAATGACCAAACTATTCCACAATTTAGGATTTTCCAGAGAGGGTTATTTGTGAATAAACAACCCTCCGGAGCGTTTGCAATCAACGGGAGCATGTTGTTTCTTACACGACCACTAGAGGTGCTACACTTTAAAACGTGACTATGGGTCGTAATAAGCTGCTGAACAATCAACCTATTTGGTTGTTTTTCGTAGGAGGACAGGCTGGTTTAAATGCATGAATGAAGCTTTGTTTTTTCTTTTTTGGGCACCATGATCTTGAAAGGCATAATTCAACCAGAGGGTACACACTGCTTCACTAATTGTCTCATGACCTCCACCAAGGAGGTTATATTTTTGGGTTCAGTTAGTCTATTTATCTGTTTTTCTTTCAGCAGGATTGTGAAAAAAATCTACTAGCCCGATTAACACCAAACTAAGTTGAAGGGTGTAGCATTGAGGTAGAGCACACAAACATTTGGAATGGATCCAAATGACAGCGGATAGGAAAAAAATCACTAATTATGTTTCACTTTCGCTAATATTGCAAGCACTTGTGGTGAATTGATGTGAATTTTTTTTTCTAAACTGGAAAATGTGTATGAACGCCCCTTGAAGTTAGATCAACAATGGAAACAGTCATCATAGCATTGTTTAAACACTATGCAATAAAATAGTACATGTTTTCACATTATGACCTTCAGCTCATGAACACATCAAAGCCAGACAAACGATCCAGAATTACGACACGATTGGTTCATTTACTCTCTATTCAAATGTAAAAAGTTAGGTTTTAAACTAATCTTTGGCTTTGAATTAAGTTAATACAAATGATGTTTCGAGGTTATAAGTTAATACAATTAATGCGCGTTGCCCAGTCATTGTTCTATAAGTGTCATAAATACTGTAGGCAGAGCATGGGGGACCCAAATGCAGGATGTAAAAGGATTTAACAAAAACAAATCTGTAATTGCAGGTTATCTTGTAGAACCAGGCAAGGCAAAAGAAAAGTAACACAACTCTCCCATGGATGAAAATCAAGGATCTGACACCAACAAAAAAACAGAACTTAATTACATGCATAACTAATCACAAGGACAAGACACAGCTGGGCTGGGCAGGAAAAACACAAGGGCACCATGTGAAGAGAATCAGGTAATCAAACAGGAGGGAATACACAGAGACAGGAAGTACAAACAGACATAACACAGGGGGTGAATAAAACAGGAAACACACAGACAAATTGTGAAACTTAATTGCACTTTTGTGTCAAGAGAGATGTCAATCTTGGTGGTAATCTGTCACACTTTGACTAGAGGAGCTTATTGAATATTTAAGTATGAAATATGATATGTGAGTTCAAATATTGTGATCATTGGGAATATGGACTCTTTCAAATGTTTACCCTGCAAAGAGGGTGAAAGATTCATATAAAATATAAATATAAATGTTTCTGCAACACCAACACTAGCATTGAATTAGCATGACAGAATGAAGATACAACCAACATAGAAAAGACCAGGCCAAACAGCTAAACTTTTTTAGCAGATAGTGATTATTGTTACCAACCTGCCACAAAGCAGACCCTCCAGAGGCCAGAGTGCAGTGCCATCTTCACCTCGGTGGTCTGGTTCTGCTGCAGGATGATCCCCTCCTCCATCAGCAGCCAGTAGTCTGTTGACACGGCGACGCCCACCAGCAGCAGACCACAGGCCCCAAAAACCGACGAGAGCAGCGTCAGAGCCCTCGTACTGAACGAACTCATCTGCGGAGACAAAGGAAAGAAACAATCATTCATACTGATGTCAGTCTGCATTTTTATTTTGAGGATAAGAAAAGTGGAGAAAAAGATGCCAAGATGAGAGAAAGAACAGGTGAGGAGAGGACAGACAAAGATTGATTTACCTCATTGATTTTTAAATCCTAAAATATGCAGAAGCACATCAGAGAGCTACGAAAAGGAAGAGCGAGGAGCCTCTGATTGAAATCCGTCTTGACTTTCATTGACTCACGCTGTTAAATATGTATGCAATATTGGACAGGAGACGAGATGAAAGACGAGAGGAGAGGAGATCCACCGGGAGGAGAAGAAGAGAACAACCTTGGAAGAAATTAGCTATTTTCATGTTGAAAATATCAAAGCATTTGAAAAGCTTCTTATACCAATCCTGGGGTTTCAAGATGTTTTTCTTAACATGCCAAAGAGGGGACTATAATTGAAAGCTCTTTCAAAATACATGCGGTGCCAAGAACACTAAAGGACCAGGAAACAGATAATGGATTTTGATGGATATTGAAAAAGTGGAATACAAAGAAACATCATAGGCAGAAAAATATCCCCGACAAGAGAAGTGATGCCTTTAAAGGGGCCCTATTACGCACATTTTGAAGTTCATATTATTTATTTTTCGCATATACAGTACTGTGACATGTTTACATTGTTTGAGGTTCAAAAAGTGCTTTACATGTACTGCAGCACCCTCTGCCTGAAACCAGAGCCCTGTCTGCTCTGATTGGTCAAAAGCCTAGAGATGTCCCGCCCCTTAGCCTATCACATAAAATGTGTTGGAGAGCTAGCCAATAGAAGCACAAGTGTTACATAGTGATATCATTATGTTAAGGAAGAAAACAAAGATATCTAATTGAGGTGTTTCTATGGTCTGCATGGTCATTTGAAGACCACTTAAGTCTTACAATATAATGGAATGAAGGTTGCCATTAGCAAACAAAAGCATCAGCCTGACACAAAGAGAGACCTTCATCAACATCTAAATATCATCATCAGCGAGGAGAGAAACACCACGAAATATTCATACCATCTTCAGGATGGAAAACTTTCTTTCGATAGAACAGAACAGAAAGTAAGGAGGTGAGTGATGTTTTGAATACCAATAACAAGTTCATCCTTCAAGATACAAATCTAACCGAATGGAATGCAATTTAATTCAGTGACCCAAACCGAAAACTCAAATTATACAGAGGGCAAAGAAGAAAGATAATTTACTTTTAAATGATGGTAATACTGCTGGCTCAAGAATGGGAAAACATGGTTAAATTGTTTTCCTTTTAGGACACAGAGGTATATGTTTATGAAGTATTTGAGTTTATTCATTCTTGCACTCAGTTAGTTCTGGATATAGTAACTAGAAAACAACCAAACTTCTTCTGCCAAAAGCCTCTTTATACAGATTAATTGTTTAATCCAGAGACAGAAATTGGAAAATTGACAATAAGAAAAAACATTAAAAGTAAAAATTAAAATAATTGATGAATGCAAAATTGTAATGTCAATTAGATTAGATTAGATTACTTTATTGTCATTACAAAATGCAAGCACAGTGTAACGAAATTAAGGAGTGTCTAACCAGAGTGCAAAACAGTCAGTTATATAAACAATTATCAGAAGTATGTACAAAATAAATGATACAAAAATAAAGGTAAATAGATGGGAAATGTATAAATAAGAATAAATGGTTAGAAAAGTAATGCAAAAATATGAATGGAGTCTGGCAAGGCCGTAATATGTTGTGAGTGCTTCAGGTTTTGCTCATTTTGAAGTACAAGGACGCTGCCTGTAGCTGTGATCACAGCCCTGGTGTCTCTGGTGATGTAATGAGCCCCCCCCCCCCCCCCCCCCCCCCCCCCCCCCCCCTTCCAGGTAACATGCAGTGCAGTTTGACACTCACTAGGTGGCAGAAATGTTTCCTCTGGCATGCATCATTTAAGCTTTTCACACTGAAAAACATCCCCAATCTCTCACATACACACAAACTGTCATTCACCAAATGGAGGTCCCATTCAACCTGTGTGTGTGTGTGTGAGTGAAACACACCAAAAACTGCAGTTACACACACACTCTCTGCTGTCACCAAACACAACCGTGGACTGATCAGTCCCCTTAAGCACAAAACCCTTGACTCAGACTTCCCTTTTGTACATAATACAAGGACATATGTGTCCAATCGAACTGTTTTCATGTGAATGTAAAATGCTTTACAGTGTAAGTCAAATAACCCGCCGAGCCTGTAAAAGATTATTTCACATGAAACTCCTATCACAGTCTAAACTGTAAGCTAAAGTTCAATAAAACATGCCCTTGGGTTTATTTAAATTGACAACATGTATATTGTCTTCAGTGCTGTGGGTAACCAGGTTTTATGTGAGTCTGACACATAGAGTTTCAGCGGATAATTTATAAGTTATACATTTGGCAACACATGACCCAGAAAGAGGACAGAGTGTCAAAATGTTATACAAAAATGTAAGTTGTTATCTTTCTCTGCCTTTCTCTGGTTATTTATTTTGAGTTTATGTAGAGATAGAGTTTCTTTATTCTTAAATATGACATTGAACAAAAAAGATAAAGAACAACATTTTGGCTAATGTTATCAGATTGTATTATTGTCTAACATCATATTACTTCAGTTGCAAATTTGGACAGTTTCGTTTTAGGGTGTAACACTTAAGCGGATACCATTAAATTCATCAATATAAATATGTAAAGCAGATATATACAGCCTACAAGCAGGCAGATGGTTTCAACTCTTAAAGTATTTCATGGTTTGTATAAAGCTCAAGTTTAACTGTGATTAAAACAGGATGTTGAAGGAGGTTCAGTAACTTTTTAGAATGTTGTTTATGAGGCTGAGAAAGAGCTGAAAAGCCGAGAACAAAATGAGCTTAGAAGACAAGATCAGAAGAGAAACAGATAAGAAGCAAGAGAAAGTGGCTGTCAGGCGGAAGAGAGTGAGGAGTGACCTCGTCACTCAGCGCTGCGGAGCAGATTCAGCGCTCTCAGGAATGAGTCACACGGTACAAATATTTGATATGGTAAAATCCCGTCGCCCCAGGTGAACCCAGACAATTAAAAAAAATGAAAAGAAAGAGGCAGTCGTGTATGGAGTTGATCTTTCATGTGTGAAAATGTATCCATATAGGGGGAAAAAATCACATGAAGAAAAACATACATGTGCAAGTAACTTTAAAGACCCAAATTAAGTCTGGTCCCTGACTTTTACTACTATCTTAGTTTATTAGCATCCCCATTAACACTATATAATATGCTATACCTCTAGGGGTCAATACACAATCATTCAAATGCATATACAGTACAGTATGCTATGCACTATAGCCATAAAAGCAGAAATACAAAATAGAAACAAAATCAAATTTGTCATCTCTTTGAATTTACCCTCATTGAGTAAATCAAACAATTCCTCATACAGATAAATAGTAGTTCATTATTAACATAAATACTTGTCAGTATGACCTTCAATTGTGTCTTTATCAGGCTTGCATGTTTGAGCCAACAAGTCCTCCAACTCATACGACCAAATAGGTCGATTATTCAAGCCCTTATTACGACCAAATAGGTAGTTTGTTCAAGCGCTTAGTACGACCTATAATCACGTTTTAAAGTTTTCGACCTCTAGTGCTCCCATTGATTGCAAACGTTACAGAGGGTCGTTTATTCACAATTATAAAACGGACAAGTAAAATCAAGCAATCTGATTGGTTCTTAGCCGTGGTATACTGAGCGTATACCACGGGTAGAATTGTAAGTTACTTTTCACAACAACTCAGTATCCCTCCGCGTCTGAGATAAACAGTATACAGTTGGGCTGAAAAGCAAACTGCCTGCAGTTTGCTTTTCAAACTGGAACAAGAAAGCAGCGGAGAAGTAACGGGGCAGAAACCCTCCTTTTTACGCAACGGTCCAGACATAGACATCAAACGGCAAAAACATATTCAGTGTGCAGTTCCTTTGGCATTAGGGCAGGGATATTTAGATACTTTCCAAGGTTTGACATAATGAATTGTGCTACTTTTAAAGCAAGCAACGATGTTTTCAAATCTGTAATCAAAAAGGTCCGCAAAAACATTTAAGATTAACTTCGACCTCCGGGGGGGGTCTTACTATGGAGGAGTGGATTGAGGAGTGCCTATCTCCAGAACAAAAAGCACCTAAACGACGACATGTAGAGCTACGTGAAGAGCAGGTAAGACCAACTGGAAAAGTATCACCATTCAAAAGCTTTCTGATGCGGGTCTTGAAACAAAGCAGAGAAATTATGACCGTTAGTGGCCACAGGTGCGAAAGCTCTCTCCAGATCTACTGGAAGCCGAATCTCGGGGACCGGAGAAAGTGGAGCAATATTCTCGCCACGCCAAGCAACAGCCTAGAACAACCTCAGCCTATACAAGTAACCACGTAAGCCATGCTACTGATGCTGGACAGTTTTTCAGTGGGTGCACAATAAACGGCAACATACACATTAATGTAAATAAATAGCCAAATAATGGATCAACGCTCTCTGTCTAATATGTTCGCTAGCTGTTGTTAGTGTTGTTGCATAGCAACCACCTCGCACTATGTTTCGTGCAGAAGGCAACAGAGGGACTATTTTATTTTGAACATCATTATTTACTAATAAAAACTATTTAAATTAGAGTGTGTATTTTTCTTTCATATTGCCACACTTGGTAACCGTTTTATAAAAGCAATAGCTCACTTCAGGCCGTGATATATGGTCATTATATCACAGCTAAGGGGGTTGTGCTTAATTATTACATGGCTTAGTTGAATACTCGATTCTGATTGGTCAATTTAGAACATGTGACACGTTGTTAATCCAGAACAGACAGACCGCTGTCAAGGACTTATTGACCGTTGTTAAGGACGCTCACATCTGCACAAACAAGTCCGGTCGATTGAACTGTATACAGTTTGGCCGAAAAGCAAACTGCATGCAGTTTGCTTTTCTA